TGATTATTTTACTGGTTCTGCTGGTACAAATTTCCCTCCATTTATCAGCCTTAAGGGATTTTGTAAGGTAAATTTCTCCCCTCTTATGAGTCCCTCTTTATATAAACGTCGCGGTAAATAGTGTTTGATATTTTACATTTGACTATATATCATTAAATGCGGATTACATATTCGTAAGTTGACTTTACAGTATGAATACAGTGTATATTTTAGGCGATGAATGTTTGTCACAGGGTTACAACACCGTTTTAGGAGAAAGAGGCGTGACCGTGTCAGGGGGACAAAAGCAAAGGTCAGCTGAATTTTAGAATTTTATACGTCTACTGTGCAATTTCCTGCTAGCTTAGCCTTCTAAACGTTTTTTAGTTTCAAAAGAAGCTACTTTTACTGAGCTCTGAGCTATACTTAAAAGTTTTGCTTGTTTTGCGAAAAATATTCATTGTCTTGTGTTATTTCTAATTTCTCAACTATTATACATTCTTGTAAACTGATTTCGTCACTAGGATCGCAATTGCCAGAGCGTTGCTAAAAAACCCAGCGATTCTTATACTGGATGAAGCAACTAGGTAATGTGAAACATGCCATTACATACAATAATAATAGAATTTTGCTTTAAAGAAGGTGGTGTTATTTCGATACTTTAATTTGTGCAGATTATTATTATTATTGTTATTTTTTTGCACAGTGCTTTGGATGCCGAGTCTGAACGAGTTGTTCAGGATGCTTTGGACAAGGTTACAAAAGGTAAGCGGGAGGTGTGGGTGAAGCGGAGAGAGTTAACTCTGTAAACTATATATTCAGGCTAGCAACGCAAGGAACCGACTTCAAATTTTAAAGTTGTTCTCGTCTCATACAAACATTTATCTTGAGTCAAAGGTTTTTATGAGCGTCGAGAATCGTCTGTTATTTCTTTTCCTTTGATCGCGTCCATGACTTAGCCCGTTTAGAGCTGAGGACTAGCTGATGATGATAATAATAATAATAATAATAATTTACCAATTTATATAGCGCGTATTTACATGTGCTGATCAATAGCGCTTTACAATCATATGTTTAAAAGAAAACGAAAATATATTACCGTGAGAATAAAATAAACTAAGGTACAAACTATAAAAATACTTCTTAAAAAGATAGGTTTTAAGTCGAGATTTAAAACTGTTAAGTGATGTTGCCTGACGAAGCTCCACAGGTAGCTCATTCCAGAGTTTCGGAGCTGCTGCTGAGAATGATCTCGCTCCCAATGTTGTAAGCATCTTTCCCTTGGGATGGTCCAATAAGAGCTTACCAGTAGACCTAAGATTATATAATGAATTCGATTTTATACTAATAAGAACGCTAAGATAAGTTGGCGCTAGGCCATAAATACATTTGAAAGTCAAAAGTAAAATCTTATAGTCAATACGCAAAGAAACCGGCAGCCAGCGCAGCTCATAAAGCGCCGGTGTAATGTGAGAAAACTTTCCAATGCCAAGAATAAGTCTTGCTGCTGCATTTTGTACACGCTGTAATTTAGCGATCTGCACATTTGGTAAGCCAAACAATAAACCATTACAATAGTCAAGACGGCTGGTTATAAAAGCATGAACCAAAGTAATTAAAGAATCTCTCGACAGGTATTTCTTAATACGTCTCAAGTTATGTAAATGATAAAATGCCGCATTACAAGCCTTGTTTATATGATCAGTCATGCTTATGTTGCTGTCAAACCACGATCCAAGGTTTTTAACACATGGGCTTGGACTGATAAGAAGAACGCTTTTCCCAACCACGTTTGTAAGCTTGCTTTTGTTTGCGTAATCGGAGGTATGAATTACTTGCTTCAAGTCTGTAGACTCCACTTTATACGACATGTTTTTTAACATGTTTGAGTTTTATTACTGTGATAGTATGTATATTTTTGCTTTGTAGGTCGTACTGTCATTGTAATCGCTCACAGACTCAGTACCATTCAGAATGCTGGTTAGTTTTAGACTGTTGATATTGTACTTTAAAACACTGTTTTCTCTTTTTCCAAAAAGAGAAAAAAAAGGAAGAGATTATTACATCACTGAGTTAATTGCAATAGAAGGATATCAATTTATTTTATACAATATGTATAACATGTCAGGGTGTTCATACAACTCGCACGCTACACGGGAAGGTACCCAGAGTCTTTAAGAAATGGTAAACGTGCAGCGTGCAACCATGGAGTTATGGATGTACGCGGGAGGTTACTAAGCACGAAAGAAGCGTAAGAGTCGCACGAGGCGATAGCCGAGTGCGACTCTAGCTTCTTGAGTGCTTAGCAAACCTCCCAAGTGCATCCATAACTCCATGGTTGCACAGCTGCAACGTTTACCATTTCTTTTATAACATTATCAAAAGAGAAAAACATTATTTTCCAATTGCCTTCGGTTGAGTCATCGGTACGAGTTCAAGGATGCTGCCACCTGCCCGCGCGTAAACAAATCATGTTCTATGTTTTTCAAAAACTTGCCTTTGAGTTTTTCTTTCGCTGAATCAACCGTTCTCTGTCTTCAGGTAAATTGCAAAACGTTTTTCGTTGTTATTCTGAATGGCATCTGTCTACTTGCTCTTAATATTAGGGTGAAAACTTTGAGGGAAAACTATAGCTGCAACTATAAACACCAACTAAAGAGACTCTAAAAAAGAAGCTAAAACTAAATAAATGAAATAATTATCAAGCTTATTTTATGTGACAATTTTTGAAATATACGTAAAGTAGAAATAAGAAAATTTGAGGGTAATTCCTTTAGAATAACAGGTAACACTGATTTTAAAAAGAAATTAACTAGCTTTGTATCGAAATCTGCCTGGGGAAATCCAGCTATGAAAGTCAAAGTTAAAACTGAAATTTGCCGACACACAGCCGGCGCTGAAGCTGTTGTTTTTCGACCGATCTCTGAACGACTGTTATGAATGAACACTGAGGAACAAAATAATACACACAAGTCATTTTTTGAAAATTTATTTGAAAACCCAAATGTTTCTGTACTCAAATGAAATTCGCTTATTCCAGCGTAATGTGCCCGTTTTTTTAATCGATGCGATGAAAACTTCACAACAAAGCTGTCTCGAATTTGAGCGTGTTTCCTGAAATATTTGCTTAGATTTAGCATCAGCTTGACCAAAAAGTCAATAAAACAATGCTAATTGATGAATTTACATTTCAAACAGACTTTCTCTTCTATAAAAAACATACAAAATGTACCTTCAATCTTCGCTGGCTCCATTTTCCTTTGAACAGCCGATTCTAGCTGCGAGGAAAACAGTGACTAAATCATCCAGGGCAAATTTGTCGCTTGATCTTTTGTCTTTTTTCCTTCAAAACGACAGCTTAGTGTTTTCTTCAACTTCCACTTTTCATCTGTGCATTTTATCGGTGTATTTTACGGTCAGGAGAGGAGATTTGTTGAATTTGCCTAAATTTTACCGCGCTAGCTCAGTTTCTTGGCGTGCACCCACGGGCAAATGGTAGTGGCTAACTGACCAATCAGAGCGCGCGATTTACTTTTGTTATGTTATAATACCTATTGGTCTTTGCTTTTGTCTTCTTTATCTTCTTAACTTGTCTTCTTTATCTTCTTTAAAGCGCCTTGAACATAGGATAAGAGCGCTATAGAAATAAAGTTATTTATTGTTATTAACTACTTCTCTTACCAACCCCTAACTCTCTTGCTAACAAGTTAACCCATTCGCCCCTGGAGATTTTGCCGAAAAACGCGTTTTGAAGCTAGTCGAGTTGTGTTCCGGTCACTGTCGTGCTAACATTTCGCGGCCTTCTGATCCAGATCTAAAATATTAGCTTGCGAAGTTCGGGCGTGCGCAGAAAGCAAAATTTCGAGATGATTTCGAGTTTCCAGTTTAAAAGTGACACAGCAGTCTTGACTTTTACTTTTCGCTTTCTCTCCTCCCCTCTTTTTATGCTCTTCTTGCCTCATTTTTTTTTTCCTTGCTGGGCATTTAGTAGGCTTCATTTTGGTGTGAAAGTTTTGAGGAAAGCTTTTAGGATCTTAAGATAAGATGAAAGGAAAGGTAGGTGGGTAGTGGAGCAAGATTTTCATGGAAATTTTCAGGTCAATGTTACATGGCTTTTTGCCTTTTTCTAAGCTTTCCCCGACTGAATTGTGCTCATTCTGGTATGGTTTGAAAGATCTCTTCACTCTGCACAAGTTAGCGGACAAAGTTGTCCTTGACCATTAAAACTGATGACTTCACAAGCGGTATAAAGGGAGTGGATTCGCACGGGCGGTTACGGGCGGTTCAGGGGGGAAGGGTTAAATAGTCATAGTTTTATAGCTAAAGTTGGACATATGGGTCAGCTGACCCTGGGAATAAAAACAAGGTAAACTCGGTGTGGGTAATGTTTTGGTATTACTGAACTTACATGGTTGCGATCGGCAAGAAGCTATAAACCAATGAAAAACTAACACGATAGTTTTAATAGCAAGCCCAAACGGGAACTTCCACGGGACGAAGGAACCAAGGTCAGCTCGTACATCACAACACGATCACCCATGAAAAACTCACATCTGACGGTGGCAAGCGAAAAATATTCCTAAACTAGCGTTAAGTAAATTCGTGAGCTAAGCAAAAATTCAAGTAGAAGTACAATTACAAGCTAATGACAACAGGAAACTGACACCTATGTGAACAAAATGACCCACTTGAATTAAACTTAAAAGATTAGAAAGATCTTTAAAATAACTTTCGAATACTTCACAATACTCTCTTTTTGCAAAGAGAGATCATTAAATCACTGAGTAGAGCTAATTACTGTAGGATATCAAATTATTTTTGTACAATCACCTATCTTACGTATTGAAGATTCTAAATGACTGACCTAGAAGCTTCTATCCTAACGTTTTCCTAGAACTTAAGGCAACTTTGCTAAATCTACTGGAACCCCAGCGAGATTGAATATTTCGATTGTAAAATGATCGTTGCCCAAAGCATTCTAAAATAGTGGGAGATGCATATTCAGCGGTTATGGATGTTATTAGCTATGTCTGCAGTGCCTACAGTGTTAAGGCAGGTGTTCCCCTTTTTTTGAAGCACATTTACAGTGAAGATTGCGGTGTCCTTGCACTCCATACAGTTGTTGACATCTTTGATAGTACAGCGGAATCTCCCGAGACCAAAGGTGTTTGGAGGCAGGTGGAGTCGTGTATTGGAAGGTTTGATTTCTTCATCTTTGCAAGTTGCACGACTACTTAAAAACACGTTGCGTGGGTTCTTTCAAATCCCGGCGTCGACGCCAAATGCGGGTTGAGTTTGTTGTTGGTTCTCGCCTTTGCTCCGAGAGGTTTTTCTCCGGGTACTTCGGTTTTCCCCTCTCCTCAAAAACCAACATTTTCATATGATATTCCAATTCGACCAGGAGTCATGTAGACGAAGAACCACTTTGTGGATGTGCTACCTCCAAATCATTATTTATTCATTTATTTATTACTATTTACTTGAAGCTGATCTACTTCTCAAAGAGGAACAGTAGTTTATATATATGAACTTATTTTGTTACTAACCTGAACAATATTTTGTCCTTGCAACAGATATGATTGTGGTTCTGTCTCACGGCAACATAAGAGAGGTAAATATGCGGGTGTTTTCTTGAAGGAGAGCGTTTGTGCATCTTCCAGAAAGATGTGGGAAGGGTTGCGCAAGTCCACTATGCGATAAATTATGGTTTCTTGTGCCAAGAAAAAAAAAATTTCATCACATGTATACTTTTCTCCAAAGCGACTTTTGTATTAACTCGGCGATCAAACTTCTAACAAATCTAACAAATACGTTTGATCAACAGAACTGTGAAATCTCAGTATCGTTTGCGTGCTGATTGCTACCTTACAGAGGCAGCAATTTATACCGATTATTCAAATTCGATGTATTGTAGCCCGTCTAGATTTACTGTGGACATTGTAATCAGTAAAATTCATTCAGCTATGTAATTTTCCTTTGTAGATGGGAACACATCAAGAACTGATGGAAAGAAACGGACTGTACGCCGACCTTGTTCGCCGACAAATGCAGGATCAGGATTAATCCTTAACTAACTGTCAGGAGTTTTTTATTCAGACCAATTTATGTCCTCATAAATTTAAGTTAATGGGACAACCATGAGAGATTACGTGCCGGTTGTGTGACATGCTTTAAGGTATGGGGTAGGGTTTCACAGTCCAAAGTTTAGCGTGATCACATGCATTTGTAACGCAAACTGTTCGCTGAGCCAATCAGAATCGGCTGGTATTTCACTGTCAATCAATCCTCAGACATCGAGCACGAGTTGTGTGTTCATTCATTCCTTCGCTGCAAGCTAGCAACTGTATTTGTCTTGTTCTACAATGTGTTTTTCCCTCCCTCCCACCCTATGGTTTAAGCATGTCACACCCAAATTAACACTAGTATTACACAATGCTTATGAATTTACGAATAGTTGTAATATATCTTACTTAAGCTGTTAAGCTGGGCCTTTGGCCCCCATGTTAGGGATCATTGACTAGCTTTCCTATGTACAGCCACTGTTCATGTTTCTAATTTTCAGATTCACAGCAATATGTATTGATATCTCTTTATACAAAACGTTACAGTTATGAGCTATTTTTGTTACTGTTAGCAACCAGTGCTGTTGGTATTAATTTTATGCAGTTTACATGCATCAAAGACACTGAATGAACTGTTTAGCCTTGTCTAATCCCAAGGACTACATAATTGTAGTAATGAGTTAGTCTACAATTTTGATCTGTCTAATTAAAATACAGAAATAAACTTTGGGTTGGGATGAAGTGCTCCCTTACAGGCACTCTTGGCCCCATAGACTCACAGAATTGATGGGTTACCATGGTAACCATGAGTCTAAACTCCCTTAGCCATAGGACTAGGAACCTCTTTCAGGGTATTGTGACCTGCAGCCCTGAGGGGGAGTAGGGACCTTTTCAGGGTATTGTGACCTGCAGCCCTGAGGGGGAGTAGGGACCTTTTCAGGGTATTGTGACCTGCAGCCCTGAAAGGGAGTAAGGACCTCTTTCGGGGTATTGTGACTGCAGCCCCGAAGAGGATTAGGAACCTCTCCCAGGGGTTTGTGACCTGCATCCCCGGAGAGGAGGGGGCTTTGACCCCCCTTACCAAGCCAGATTAGTGATTTATCTATTGATGGCATTTAGTTCCACCGGCCTGCTATTGGAGTACTTCATTCCCAACCCCTTACCCCACATATTGTTGTTGTGTTCTTATGTCTCATGGGTTGGGAGCATTAAAGTCTGATCATCGAAATAGACAGAGATTTGCTTGATTTTTTTGTGCGTTAGTCACTGAATGATCATGGGAGTTTTCCTTAGATGAGTGAGTTTTCTCTTATACGACAATGCGATCAAGTCGATCGCCAGAGTTTGTAAGCATTTCAAAGATGGATTTTTTACTTCTTTAACGCAAAATGAAACAGATTTACATTACTGCTCTAATAGATTGACAGATGTGTAATAATACGCAGATGAATGCACACACATTAAAAATGTTTTATCAAACACCCCCAGTTTGAGCACTTTTTTGGCGATCTATACAATGTTATCCCGTACCCAGTGCACTGAGGCTTTTTGGTCAGCGGGCGGTCGCCAGGAGTGAGTAGGTACTTCATATATGGTTACAGTACGAAATTGCTTCAGATACTGTGCAATCAGGGACAGACCATTAGAAAAATGATTGGGGGAGTGGGACACTTTTACGATTGCCTGTGCGAGAATGTTTTTGAGTGCAACCCTTTGTAGGAATTATTTTTGGAGAAAATTTGCTTCATGCCCTTTTCGCTACTAAATTAATTGAAAAATGATGCTCCTAGTTTGTTTTATTAAGTATACAACATATCCTTTAAACGTCACCTTTACTATTCAAATTTATTTATTACAACGATTCTTTTAAACTACTTTTAATTTTAATAAGTGTTATACTGTATCAGTATGTAATGTTGACTGCCCCATATACGACTCCTCCATAATGGTCCAATTGCTGTATCTTTGACCTTCATAGTTTCGCTCGCACAAGTATATCTTCTAATGACTTTCCTTTTTTGTGTTATATTGTAGGAGGATTTTTAAAGATCTCTCTCAGCAACAGTTGATTTTCTATAAAATGCCATTTGCTCATTATGATGCTTTTAGATGAGGCACCGAGGGGCGATAATTTGTGCGCTTTTGTCTTTTGTTGTAAGCCGACATTCTTTGCTAATGCTTGAATTACGTAGGTTTTTATCCCCCTATCTGGATGACCTCCTACACTGAATCATCGTTTAAAATTGTTTATATTCTCTTCAAATGTTTCCTCAGAAGAATTTGTTCTGAGTCTTAAGGCTTCGCCCTTTGTAAATCGTTCTTGACTCCCTTAAGGGGTGACAAAGAGAAATGTGTGTATCGGTACTGAAGCCTTCGTCGGTTTGAAGTGTGTACGCACATCTACAATTGATTCTTTTCTTTTTTTTTTTCATCTTTCTGCTTTGTATATACATGCATCCAAAAAAGTGGTTTCTGTTTCTGATACTTCAACAGTAAATTTTATGGTCAGTTTGTGATTATTTGCCAGTTCGATCTGTATTCCACAATGACAATATGTCGTCATAATCATATAGTTGAACCTGGCTTTAAGGACACCCGCTACGGAAACCTCGTTATTACGAACAGTTTTCTTTGTCCCTGGGGAAAGCCCTCATATTTTCTCTAAATTCAACTGAGGCCGCCGCCCCTGTCGGGTGCCACTCTGAGTCCCCGAGGCCGCCGCCCCTGCCGGGTGCCACAGCGACACGCGTTTCCGCTCACGGTAATCAATTTCCGTAACACTGTGCTCTTCAGCTAGAAATATTTATACTCTATTTCGACTAAAATTCAATCTAACTTGAGAAATATTCTTGCCGAATTTACAAATAAACCAGCAATTAGCAAGGGTAACGCATGTGTACTCGTCAGATATATGATCAAGTTCGTCAATAGATATCACGAACAATACTTGCGCAAGAGAATGAAGTCGCTACCATTAACCTTCATACTCAGTTGACAAACTAACTTGGACTTTAAAACTGCACATATATTTTTAAACGGATCGGCCAATCAGTCAATCCAAAACCGCATCGTTTTGAAACCGCTTTTCAGGGCCGGGTGACTTATGGCCCAGTCTACACGAATCTGCCCGGGTGAAAAATATACGGGTTTTTAAAATGGCGGATTCCTGGGGACGGGCGGGGCCTTGCCGGGTGACTTGGAAATAAGACAAAAATAACAACGGGTAACAATGCACTTTCGCATCGGAGTCTTTTTTAACTAAATGTTATTTGAACCTTCATGTCAATCCGACTAGAAATGCACGCACTCGGAACAAAAATAAACAATCAAGCAATAGCCGTAACTCCTTTATAAAGCGTTTATCTTACCCCATTTTCACTACTGTTCAAAGATATGGCGCTTTTGTAATTCAGAAGATTCTGTCAAACTGGACACCTTAAATAGACGTATTTTAAGATTTGTTTTAAAGGACTGGGACTCGAACTGTGATGCTCTTCTAGACAAGGCTGGTGTGTGTAGTTTAGCCAACAGGAGGATACAAAATATGATGATTTGTATATTGAAATGTCTCCATTTTGGTAAATATCCGTGCTATTTAAAACAACTGATCAAGTTAAGATCTACTGCTTACTCCCTACGGGGTACTAATATTTTATCACTTCCTAAGCCGTCTACAACCACATATGGTCTAAATTCCTTTAGCTATTCATCTGTTAAGTACTGGAATTCTCTACCTGATCACTTTAGAAAGACTGTAGATTATAGTGAATTTAAGCGCAAATTATTAGTGCACGGTTTTAGTTAATATTATATTATATATGTTGTAACTTTTAAAATTAGTTAGGATCGGAGATACTAGCTATGTAAGCTACACTAAAATCCGAGGATAAATAAAGTTTAAGTATGTATGTATGTATGTATGTTCTCCAATAATGCTATTATACCGTTAGCCTGTTCCTCTGTGGCGCGAATTCAGAAAGTGGGAAAAAAATAGTGGGAGAGAAAGAACAATTATGCAATCGAAACGCTAATAAGTACTATTGTTCTTTGCATTGTACTTCAGCAAATAATATACAAGCACTGAAGGAAAACTTTTATATTTGGATTAAATCAGCAGAAGGGATAATGTGGTTTCTTTTCACCCAGCCATGCCGAGAGAATAATTTGATAAACAAAACTTGTATCATCGATGGGCTCCTGCTTTACTGAATTCAAACAACAGACTGTACATTCAGCGATTGTTTCCAACTCTTGTCATCAACAGCACGCCACATTTCCAAATCCACGTTGGAAACGTTTTGTTTTTTTCTGTTTTCAATCGCCCCATGATTAACAAAGGACAAGCCTCTCAGCGTCAGGTAAGTGGCATTTTCAGATACACCTGAAGTTGCAGGAGCTAGCGTGAATTTTGGGCAGTGTACTCACGGGAAGGAAAGTTAGACTAACTAGGGGGTCTGGGGATATACTCCCGCAGAAAAGTTTTTCAATTTCGGTCTGCGTTTTCTACAGAACAATGTTAGTAAAAAAATTGGAAGAAAAATGTTGTGAGGGGGAAAAGGAAGGGTACTTTTTTTCGTTTTTCATCCCTCTATTACGTTTCTTGCCGTCCGTTTGTGAAATAACAAGAACGCTCTTACAGCGGCTGTCGGTCTCGCTTGCTTGGAGATTCGATAGAGAAATGAGGAGGCGATTACTCGCTAAAGGTTTTTTATTTACCTCCTACTTTAGCGACGTCAAGTATTCTTTAGGATATTTACTTTTTATTTGTTTCTGAATTGATTAACGGGTGTTAGCGACGACCTGAAATACGTGTGGGGTCGCAGGCTATACCCGGGAATAAATACACGAAAAATCAAGGGCCTCGCTTCCAGAGAAATTACATCATTGCCAGAGATCGAAAACGTGTTTTACATGGCATATCATTTCAACCATCGCCGAAAATAAACCGCAAGTTCATTACAAGAGCCATTTGCATACAATCAAGTTCAACACCCGACCATCGCCGTTTTGCTAATTAAGATTCTTATCTTTTTCGACCACTCAGTAGTGTTCGCTTGTTCCAAAGTAATCAACGCTTTCGTGGACCAACACGGCGGAATAGCTCTTAATTTAATCTTTCCTAAGCTTTCTTAGCCTGCCAACCACAGGACGCATTTCCGTTCGTCGCTTCTCTCCCTCGAGCGGGTGAAGCTAGAGCCGAAAAACCGGATGCTCTCGCGGGCTAAAGCTTTCTTCGCAAAACATGCGTTTCTTATTCCCAGTTTGCACTGTCTCCGCGAGGAACGCCCGGTACAATGACCCCCTTTTGTGTCATAAATACGAGGAAAAACGGGTTGCAGATTATGAGTCTCGCTGCTTACGCATGCGAGCCTAATAAACGGAGAGGAAATACAAAGACAACAATATAATGCGAAAAAGTTATCAGTGATCCCCATTTAATGATAGAAATGTTTCAGGAGATAAAAAGAATATTTTTTCAAAGATGTCAGCTGTACGCACAGGAGTATATGCGTATGAGAACGCTATGCGACAGTGCTGTCGTAGTCAATGAGCGCTTTCCGATTCATCGCCGTGAAAAATGTTTCTAAAAAAAATAATCAGTACCTTCAGAGGTTACTTTTTCCCCGCTTTTACCGAAACGACCAAAATTTTCTGTACAATTCGTGTGGATTACCAGTGCCAAGCTTCCTCTCAAAGAAAGGAAAAATTAAATCGTACAACTGGTTTGGGTACGGTATGATACAACTTAGTAGGTCAGATAATATTTGGGACAAAATTTTCACTGACGTTTTCCTTGCATATGGTAAGGTGTCCATAGGCTTAGGGACGGACGATTAGAAACGTGATTGGTTGGGGGGGGGGGATTCTGAGCTCGCAAGAATTATTTTATGGCCGATTGCTTGGGCGAGAACTTTTTTTTGGAGTTCAACCCTTTGAAGGATTTAGTTTTTGGAGAAAATTTGCTTCATGTCCATTTCGCTACTAAATTAATTTAAAATGATGCTTCTCTGTTTTTATTAAATACAAAACTTGTACTATAAACGCTACTTTTACTATTCACGTTTATTTAAAGTAAAAGTAAAACTGATGGAGTTGTTACAAGTAAATCGCGATTTATAATGAAAAAGGTATCAATTCAAAGCATTTCTAAACTCACATAAACACTATGCCTACCGTTCTGCAAAAACGTCAGGCGGTATTTTTATGATCATAAACATGTGCAAGAATGGCAACAGAGCCCATGTGGCGTCGGCCATAAAGGAGTATACGATACACCATTTCAGATAAGCGCTAAGAAAATGAGTTTTTATTCTCGTGGAAATAAAACTCATTTTAACGAGGAAGGTTTTGCACTGAGGCTCGTTTTGAGAGTTTTTGGAACTCCGAAATGGCGTACACTGTATTTGGGCATCTAAATCTGTTTAGTGGTAATGAAAAGAAATAGCTGAAAACTAAAATGTAACAGGATTTGACCAATATAAAAAATCTTTTCTTTATTAACTGCATGGTTTTTTTTACATGATGGTGCAAGAATGCAAGGTCCAACCTCGTTCCCAGGGTTCTCTCTCCTACCCGTCCCTGAGAGAGAACCCTGGGAACGAGGTAGGTCTGGGTTAAGGGTTAAAATGCCTGGGGTACCCCCATATATAAGCCATTGTAGGTATGTGCCGCCCTAAGGGGTATAGTCTTTGCACCGTCTTTGTCTGAAAACGGGAGTACATTTTGCCCATTTTGGGTATGGCTTTCGAGGGAACCACGGTAGTGTATGAATGTATTCGTTGTTTCAATTCCAAACTAATAAGAAAGAAAGAGTAATATACGAATTTGAAGTGGACTTTACAACTTTTTTATTTGCACTCTAATCTAAATAAAGATGACATAATTTCCTACAGACCAGGTCTGAAAACAGGTGAGGAAAAAGACATTTTAAAGTCTGAAACAGGGTCAGGATTTGGAGAACCAGGCAGCACACCCCCACCAAGAATTCTCAGGAGTACCCCCCAGGTTAAAATGAAAGGTTCACACAAAGAAACACACAGCAAACTGAAAGCTAATTATAATGACAATAGGGACAAACCCCTGCAGTACTGCAGTATTTTGAACACTCTTTAGGGCCAGTCAGTTAAAGTGCCCATCACCAAAAATTTTATATTTTCTTATCTGAAACTATACCTTATTAAAATAACTTCTGCGAAAAAATTTTGCGGTGTGAACAAAACGCGATTTTTTAATCAATTTTTGAAGTCTACATTTTTGCGGTACACCCGCGCTGCTGGTCATGCAAACTAGCAGGCTCACATATGACGTCATGTGACGTAAATTAAGGAACTCGCATTACCCAGCGGTACACAAAAAAGATAAATTACAAGTAAGGACTGAATCACAATGTCTTCGCAAGAAGAAGGTTTTTCTGAAAAAGAAAAACCTATCAGAACTCTTAATGTTTTCCTGTCGATAAGGTCACGTTTTCCTTAAAGTACGTCATATAACGCCATACTCCGAGAGAAGACTAAGACGAATGGTGCGCAAAAATGGCGGCAAATTTGAACGTTTTTAAAAAATCGTTTTTAAAAAATCGTCTTTAGTTCAAATCGCAAAATTTTTTCGCCGAAGTTATTTTAATAAGGTGTAGTTTCAGATAAGAAAATAATAAATTTTAGGTGATGGGCACTTTAACAGATCAGAGTGTTCTAAAAATGACCTCCAGGCCCAGTGTGTTCGAAGCAAAACTAAGAGCAGGTATATTATCTACTAAACAGCTGGCAGAACAGGAAGAGTTGTACATGTTGCACTTCACTTCAAAGTATGAACCATGATATAATTTTGTCAGTTAAAACTGTCCATTTTGCAACTGGGTAAATGGATCATGCTGAATTCATGTGTTAAGCACATGATCCTTGTTTTGTTTGAATGACAGCTTTATGGTTGATGACCAATACGATATACAGTAAGGTACCAGTTACCAGCATGTTAAAAATAAAATATTTCAGAGGATGAAAGATTATTAGTCTAGACATGAAATATTAATCTCTGGTATGAATCCAGCAGCTTTTAAACCTTTCCAATTTGGCTCCAAGCCAACATTAAAATGTCTCGTTTCTCTTTAGGAAACCTGAGCTCTCGTCCACTTAGTCGACACTGTTCCAACTCTTTAGAAGCCTTATCCAGTTCCCTCTTTATTAAACCCTGTTGCTCTTGTTCACGTGATATCCAATCCAATGCCATCTGACTTCTCATTTCATCATCAATAGTTCTATCAGAATAATGTTCCAACACCTCCTGACGAGAACAATTTCTATCCCTCATTGCTTTTAAACTGCCATTCCAGTGTAGTAGCTGGAATATGGTCATGAGATCTTGGAATTCTAACATGCTTTTTCCCTTATTTGACTCCAACATAAATCTAAATGCTCCAATGCCTGTACTGGGATCTTTAGAGCTGTCTGTCGACAGGTTAAGTGTCCTTCTTTTTAAAGCAACTTGTGCTTCAGTTGACTCTGCTTCTTTCACAGCCGACTCTACAAATTCATCTGTAATTTTTCTATTGATAAAAAATAAACCCTTGTTATGCTAAAATCTTAACTAGACCTGCTCTTCCCGACCATTTTTCCATTTAACATCTCAAATAGAGAGGAATCTCTCCAAAACAGCTACTGAAGAGCTCAAAATGTCAGCTTAAGCGAAAAAAAAAATTTGACACAGCATGCCAGCAGGCAAGAATTTACCACACGCGTCGTGGCTCCGATTTAAAACCCCGCTGTTGGCCTTGCGTGTACTGCGGCGAAGATCACAAAGCCGTCGAATGTACAAAAGTGACAGATGTCTCTGATCGAAGACAAATTCTCCTCAACAAACGTCTGTGTTTCAACTGCACCGCCGGAAACCACCGCGCCGTCTATTGTCCCAGCAAATCCGCCTGTCAGCAATGCCGCAAGCGTCACCACACGTCCATTTGTGAGGTACCCAGGCAAGAAACTAATCAGCCAACACCTACGAGAGGGGTCGCCTTGACTACAAACCAAGTCGGAGAGGGTTTGTTTCCTGTCATCGTGATAGAAGTCAATGGCATTAAATGTCGAGCACTCATCGATTCAGGAGCTGGGAGCTCATACGTATCAGCGAAACTGATCGAATTACTTCGCCTGAAGCCTGCTGATATCCAGACAAAAACAATCGATATGCTAATGTCTTCAAAAGTTGCCAGACTAGAAGTCTACGATCTTGAATTACAATCTGTTGACCATCAATATTCGCTGTCAGTCAAAGCGACCAAAGTAAACAAGACAGAACTGTTGTCTATTGACAACCCTAATTATCGCACGCTAATTGAAAAGTACTCACATTTGAAAGGCGTACATGTCAACGATGATGACACGAAAGCATCTCTTCCGGTCCACGTGGTGCTTGGGAGCGGAGAGTATGCCAGAATCAAAACTGAAACGAAACCGAGAATCGGACGAGAAAATGACCCCGTAGCGGAACTCACCAGGTTCGGATGGTTCCTTATGTCCCCTGGAAAGGAGTTCGACAAAAACATCATGCTGTTTACCCAAACAAGTCAAAGCGACTATGAAGACTTGTGCAAACTAGACGTCTTGGGATTACGTGACGTGGCCGATCATGACCAGGCAATGGTGTACGAAGAATTTAAAGAGCAATTAACGCGTTCGCAAGAGGGCTGGTACGAGACTACCTTGCCGTGGAAGGCAAATCACTCACCACTACCCTCAAACAAGGAAGGCAGCCTCAAGCGACTTAAGAACCTGACCAGAAAACTCCAACGTGAAGATCTTACTGTCAAATACAATGATATTATTCAGGAGCAGCTGACTGAAGGAGTTATCGAAAAGGCACCCCCTGTTTCCCAGCCAGAAAAGGAGTTTTACATCCCTCACAAGTGCGTAATTCGCAAGTCCGCTGAAACCACAAAGATGAGAATTGTTTATGACGCCTCTGCCCGAGCGACACCCAATTCCCCGTCCCTGAACGACTGTTTGTACTCAGGACCCCACTTCAGAACAGACTATGGGACGTGCTCGTCCAACAGAGAGCCTACCCAGTAGTCTTAGCGGGAGATATACAGAAAGCTTTCCTACAGATTCGAATCCATGAGAGCGAACGAGATGCACCCGATTCCATTGGCAGACTGACGGCACCTCTGAAGTGGAGACTTACAGGTTCACACGTGTGCTCTTTGGGCTTGGCCTTTGTAAAGATAGTTTTCCAAGTTTCGGCTGACGAGGGAATGGGTGAATAAAGTAAACTTATTGAGTTTTCATCTCAAAAACTTTTTTTAAACTCCTGCTTGCCGTGATTATTGTGCGCAAAAAGCAAAACATCTTGATGTCAAGACCATGTCTACATGCTCTCATGCAAACACGCCTATCGGCCAATCAGAGTGCGCGTACTATTTTAGTTATTTTATAAATTCCTGTGTTATTAACATTTCCATGATTACCCTTCAGTTAATAGTTAACACCTAACTTCATGCATGCAGTTCTAACAACAAAAAACAATTCTAGAATTAGAATCCACTCTAAATACTAATCACTTCAGGTATATGGTCCATCATCCATCCAAGAGAACCACAAAAAGAAAGTGCTTAGAGCTGTATACTTGTGATATTCTGAGTGGACTACTTGCTAAAAGATAGTTTACTGACCTAGAGGGATGTTCATTAAAAACTGAATTCATCAGTGCAATTTTGGCAGCACTTCTCTTAGCTTCAGCCTTGGTTGGGCAGGGTTGAAAACTTCCAAAACAACTTCCTCCAGGAAGACTGACAAAGCAAACATATGGTGGCTTTTCAGAAGCCTCTGGTTCATAAAGGTTGTCAGATCCACCTTTCATTGGAGTGCCACGAGATTCCTTCATTTGCCAAAACTCTTGTAACGCCTCGATGACATCAACTGCAAAATATATTCTTCTTCGATCAAAATATACACGTACATATATGAACGAATTTCATTTTACAACATCGAAACTTCAGATTGTAGGCTGTTTAGAATTTACAGGAATTTCCTTTGTAAACATTCAGAAATGAATTCAAGTATTGCATTATCCCAGGGTTATCTTAACAACCTCCCCCCCCCTCCCCCATGTAGTATTTCAACAAGAGAGGATTAAGACAGGTGAGGCAAGAGGCATTCCTTTGTAAGTTTGTTCAAAGGAGGTGTGTGCTAATATTTGGGGAAGGGCACTCTTTCTCATTGGACTGACAAAAATTTTAAAATATATCATCCAATGACCTTTTGGATGGGGGTCCAAAAGACCAGAAAGGAAAGAACAATAATAATTATTATGCTAGCTTTTGCATTTGGTAGTGCATGTCTTCACTTCCATAGAAGGAAAAAAAACATCAGTTTCTCAGAAACATATCATGATTACAATCCTTGAGAGATCCTTCACAAGGTGGCTCTCCTTTTAATCTTTGAACCTCTTACAAAGGCTTAAAAGGAAAGTCTGCAGTTTAACTGGAATGTCCAGCTGACATGTAGAAATAAAAAAAAATTAATTGTAACCAAACAAGGACAAAATGGATACCTTCTTTTGTAAATGAATGTAGTCAAAATAGAAAGAAATCATTGTAATATGGAGCAATAACTGATGTCACTGCAAATTTCCTTTATTTGCTTCCTAAACATAAACCAAGGTGTAAATATTTTCCAATATTGTCTTTCAGAGCAAAATGAGCAATGTGACAGCTGATTACTGTCTATCAATCATTATGTAAAAAAACTAAAATATACAGTGCCCTGTGGTGACCCATACGAATATAAGCCACAACATTATGGTTATTCCATAAAGAAAACCTAAAATCTTCCTAAAACCCATCTCACTTCATCAGCAATTAAATGAACACTTGAAATATAATAGATATGTTCATTATACCCTAACAAGGTGATGAGTTCTTTTAATATAAACTGAAAAAAGATCATAGAAATGAAACGTTCTAGCATCATGGTTACGAAAAAAAAAAGAAAAATAGAAAACTATAGAAGTCACCAAATCTTTACTGAGAGTTCATACAAACATACACGAATTGTCGTTAAAGTTACCGGAGTATATGTATGCGCTAAGCTTAACTAATCACTACAAGCCATGGACAGTAAATACAAACATCACAGCTGTTTCCCTTCGACTCCATAATGAAACACGAAGGTCTAAATTCCATTCACAAGATAAAGAAATCTCCGTTCCTCCAAGACTCAATCGTTGATAGAGGTCGCGGCACCTTTGATGTTTAAAGAACCGACGAAAGATTGGCGCTTTCTATTGTAACTCGCGATCAATATACTAGCGCGATGTTGCTTCTCACGAATTTTAACCAAGATATTCAACAAATTTCCGCAAAAAAATGATGTTCGTCAAGGAACCGAAGTATACGTGCGATCATTAGAAGGCAGATTACTTTCCTCTAAAATCAAAATGTCTTGTTTAATAAACAAAATTGTAAGGTCACAACAATAAAACAAAAGTAAAATGAAAAACCACTCTTGCGTGTAACCATAAAAATTTCTGCTCCAAACTAGAATATGACGACTGTAAACACTGCCCATGATATTTTTAGATTTAGATCGAAGTAACCTGAGCCAATAAGGCTCAGCCACAGGAAGTTTTTCTAAGCTTCCATTTGCACGAAATGCAAAAATGGGTTAAATAAGTCATGAATTCAGTGAACAAAAAGGTTATCATACGATTATCATAACTATAACGCGCATACGAACAATTAGGCTAGTTTCGGAAGGAAATGTGATTACTATTAAATGTTTATGATCATTGATGCGATAAGCTTACCTCGACCATATCCATGTGTATGCTTAGCAAACGAATTCAGAACAGCATCAACAGCTTCTTTTAACACTGATTTAGCAGGATGAGCCCCGTCCGAGCTAGCAGTTGGGAGATTTGTCGCTTGTTCTCTAGTTGTCGACGCCATCTTGACCAAGAAGTGAACCAAAGTTTACACGAAAATCGCGAGCGTCCACGCGCCTCTTCGATTTTAAAAACGAACTTCCCGCTTACATACTTAACTGCCAATTACAACAATTTAACTGCACTTCGTTTAGCGACTAGCAGGGAATAGAATTGAAGAAATGTGATGACAAGTATGAAGATGCGATAGAACGCCTCCTTTCCGCAAACGATCTCAGGAGAAGAAATTGTCAGCAGGGAGGGGTGGGACTAGTGCCCAGTCTCGCCTCCAACTACTAACCAGCGTCCAGACTCCGTGGGTCAAGACGTCCGTTGGTCAAAAAACCAGAAGACAAGAAAATGACTGAAAAATTCTTCATGTTATGGCGGCCATGTTAGTTATCCTTAGTTACAACACAAAATTTCGCGGGATTTGTATGATAATACGATAATAGAGAACGACTGGAGAACTGACAATTTGACTAACAATAGACGACTGTTTAACTGTGACAATAGACGGATCGAAACACACCAATCACTGTCGGAGTCTTCATAGCCAATAACATCACAGCTTAACTGTAGACGACCAGTAACATCGCGACGTAATTGACCAATCAGATCAATAACCAGAGAATAATACCATCAACTGACGTGATACAACTCACTTTGACTCTGAAGATGACAATCGCACAGGTTGTCGAAACGTCAGTCACTGTCAGCAACGACAGTCCTATTCAGGACTACGTTCACCTTGACGATCAAACTCAACCTACTTTTGAAATGAGTCCTGGGTACAAACCTTTCACAGTTTCACCATAATATAGGCTGTACTAGAAATACGTGTATCGCAGAAACTCGCGAAGCTCGGTGGCGGGGGGAGGGGGGGGGGGGAAAGAGGCCCATAAAAATTTGTCACCCTTAGCTGTCCAATCAGCCTAATTAAATGCAAAACGTTACAGTCCAGAAGACTTTTGCAGGGACTGATCAAACAACGTGAAATAGAGTGAAGTTGTGATATTTCGACTGACCAATACCAGATACCTGATGAAGAATGGTATTGGCCAGTCGAAATATCACAACTTAACTCTATTTCATGTTGTTTGATCAGTCCCTGCAAAAGTCTTCTTGACTGTAACGTTTTCAATTTTATGTATTTTGACTGATCACGATCTTTTTGGATCCGACGTTGAGCAAGATTGTTCGTACACTGTTTTTGGAGTGGTTTTTTTTACCTTAACTAAACATTCTAATTAAATGCCTTTAATTTCAAGTGTATTTTGTATTGCTGATCCGGATCTACTTAACAAGATCCGACTTTCCCTTGCTGCAGTTTGTCCAAGTGCGTGGTCCTTGAAAGAATTGTTCGCTAATATAGTCTGTCCCCAGCAGGTAGAAACATTTTTGCTCTGATTTGCAAAGACCCCATGACCCCATGTGAAACTGCCAAACAATATTACAGTATTGAAGTATCTTTTTCCAGTGGTAAAGCAAAGATCAGAGAAAACACCAAAATCCCAAAAAACGTTATGTAAAACATAATGAAACTAGAAGCACAGGCTTTAATACCGATACAATATCAGTCTACAAGGAATAAAAAAAATATCAAAGCGTCCACTCTTAACAGAATGTTTGCTACACATCTGAGACACTATCTTCAAAGTTAAATTATTAGGTGTCATTAACTGATTCCGCGGCTTTGAGGACTGGAGCTGGGTCAGTATCTTTAGTGTTGGAAGCTGAATTAAAGTTCTTGCAAATTTCTTCCGCCTGTAGCTCATCCTCGGAGACCCAGGGGCGTGGTCAGTCGCGTCGGGATAAACGGTGGCGAAAGTTTTCAAAAACTGGCGAGAGAACCCTAGGATGCTACTCTTGACAATTGATTGAGACCAGCATCTGTCACGCTACTTTCGTGATCTTCTTATACAAAGGTGTTTACCTGGAAACTCGAATGTTCGCCGTACCTGTCTGGCTTGTCGAGGAGAGCTTTGAGAAGAGTTTTCAGGGCCCACAAAAACCGAAGATCTCCCACAAATTAGCATGTTAGCAAAACAAAACAAAACGACTGAAAGGTGAGATGTCCTTATAACCCCAACATTTATTTTGCATATTTCGTAGTTAATTTTTTATCTGGAGTAATTTTTGTTTTTCTTTTGTTGTTGGGTATGGTAATGTATGCTAATGAAGTTAAAACAAAAGAAAAATAAAAAGGTGTTTCGATACAGTTTTTCGGAGGCCATACCGATATTTTTCAATCGCCTTAAGAGTGGTTTTTTCTTTGTCCGATCGCTATAAAATTTTCAGCATTAATTGGCCATGGATTGAAATTTGTGAAAATGAAGTTTTAAGCAAAATCGATATTACTATGACAACAATAAACAAAAAACTTTGAAAGTGATAAAAGCCAAACTTTGTGTGACCTAGACAAGCTACTGAGAATCCAACACTAGGAAATTAAAGTTTGGTGTTTAGCAAACAATCTCCGTAAGAAGTAATAATTTCTGTATGTTTGAATTCGCCTAAAACAAAAATATATTTTAAACCTTAAATTTTCAATAGCCGTGACAGATTTTAATATTATCACTTTATAATAGTAATATCTGTGACAGATTATTTAATAAAAACGTTATAAATGACTCAAATTATTCATAAGTAGCGTCAGAATGCTATTTAATATCATATTTTGATGTTAGGAAATTTTGGTGTATTTTCGTTCTTGCGATCTTGAAAACTAACCCGTTTTCTCACCACCTGTATAAGTGCAACTTCATTCAAAATTTGGACTTTTAGCGCTGTTTTGTTTATCTCTGAAACGACTCGGACGAATTTTTTTTAAATATTTTCACATAATCTTCAAAATGTATATATTAATGTCTGAAACTTTCATTAAGGTTGATTCACTGCAACTTCTTGAAATTTCAAGACAAACCTATCCTACGAACCGGTCGTAAATTCGCGCCACAAAATTCACTGTTTTGACGTTATGCTAATATTTCCAAATTAATGCGGTCAATACATACCTCAATGACTAGCACATTTTAGTTTGAATTTATCGAAACTTTTTACATAAAGGTGGGGGACCCCAGGTACCTAACGTGTAAACGAGATCACATTAAAATGAGAGATTGTATGGACAGGCGGGTTACCCCACCTAAGCGGGTTACCTCACCTACCTGGGGTCCCCCACCTCCATGTAAACAGGCCCTAAAACATTGACAATACCCGCACTGAAAGGTACTAGTCAAGGATATATGTATTGTCCGCATAAATTTGGAAATTAAAAATTAGCATAACGTCAAAACAGTGAATGTTGTAGCGCGGATTTGTGACCGGTTCGTAGGATAGGTTTGTATTGAAATTTCAAGGTGTTGCAGTGAATCAATCTTACTAGAAGTAATGGAAGTTTCAGACATTATTATATACATTTTGAAGATTATGCGAAGAGATTTTAAAAAATTCGTTCGAGTCCAAATTTTGAATGAAATTGTACTTAGGCAGGTGGTGAGAAAACGGGTTAGTTTTTTCAAGATCGCAAGAACGAAAATACACCAAAATTTCCTTCCATCGAAATATGATAAGCAGGATACTGACTCTACTTAAGAATAATTTGAGTCATTTATAACGTTTTTATTAAATAATCTATCACGGCTATTGAAGATTTAAGGTTTGGAATATATTTTCGTTTTAGTCGAATTCAAACATACAGAATATTTTACTTCTTATGGAGACTGTTTGCTAAACACCAAACTTCAAGTTCCTGGTGTTGGATTTTCACTAGCTGGTCTAGATCGCGCAAAATTAGGCGTTAATCAGTTTCAAAGTTTTTTGTTGTCATAGTAAAATCGATTTTACTAAAACCTACATTTTGACAAATTTCAATCTATAGTCAGTCATTGGTGAAAACTTTATAGCGATCAGACAAGGATAAAATCACTTTTAAAGCGATCGAAAAATCCCGGTATGGCCTCTGAAAAACTATATCGCAACACTTTATCTGAGATAAAGAATTTAAAACTACAACACATACATGTTTCGACCCCATTTATATTAACTATTTGTGAGAAAAAGTATGAAAATGTTGCATACTTAATAAGTGTATGGGGTTTAAAATGGAAATCTTACCAAACGAAAAATACACCAACCGATGAATTCAGACTGTAGACTGTTGTAAACAGCAGAGTACTTCTAGGTTTGTTCATGCAACTCTGCCGGTTTACTCTACCAGTTTCGTTCGATCCTCTATTTTCAATGAGAAGAAATATTTAACAACAAACTTGCAAACTTTAAAGAATTTTCTCGTGCACGTGCCTGACAAGTATGCCAAGCAGGCGTTAACAGCCATATACACGATTTCGCCCGCAAAAGCTTTTTTTTAATTTAATCAATTTACGCTACGTGGAGGTATATTAAGAAATAATCGTTTTGTCTGCGTCCAGTTTCGAAAGCTCTCCTGCACAAGCCAGAATTCGAAACGTGTCATGTACGGCGGAGAATTGAGTTTTCGTATGAGAAAATCACCAAAGCAGCGCGATAGATGCTAGCCTCAGATTATTTTTGTGCCCAATCAGAGACAAGCATTCGAATGAGTCTTGGAACCGTTTTTTTTAAGGGTAGCATCCAAGGGGCTCTGTCGCCCGTCCTTGAAAACCTTCGCCGCGGAAAATCCCTACCGACTGACTGCCCCTGGGTCTCCGAGGATGCTTGTAGCCGGCAATGAAATACCAACTTTGGAGGACTTAACAGTTTTAGCTGACAGTAACATTCTAAATCAATTGAAGTCAAAGCTGGCCGCTCCAAACAGGTAAATGAAAATTGCTATGTATGAGTCAATGAATAAAGAAAAAGATGGGGAAAAGGCAATCAAATCAAATCAGCGCACGGTCTTTTTCGTCTCCATTAAAACTCGCTGGAACGGATTTAAAAATTACTCAGCCTAATTCAGTTTTAGCGCTGGTGAATTGCTTCCCCAGCTCTAAGTAGCCGCGCAAAGCATGACAAGTTTAGTAAGCATCTCGGTGAAGAGCACTTTTCTACTTTCAGGTAAATCACATCATCAATGGCGTCAGAGATTTTTATAGCAGAGAACCCGAACATCCGGGACGAAAGTATCAAAACGGTGCTGAGATCATCTAATATCGCGAGGCAATCGACGAACCTTTTCCTGGCCTTGACAAAACTTCCTTGATTACGCTTGGATTTTTCATGTAAAACAAGGACTTAATACTTGGTTGTGTACACAGAATCAAAATCTGTTTAACCGCCATGTTTGGAAAGTGCGCGGTTATTTTGACCGTTTGTACATACGGCGTTCTTGGAAGCGTTTTCCATGGAAAGCGATCGGATTTCTCCATGTATGACAACCAATTTTGTAAGTTAGTCTCAGTTTATTTTTTTGTCGAGTTTTCAACTTATTTTTCACTTTGAACAAAGGATAAATCAAGGTTTAAGATAACCATTACTTTGAACTTTGAATCATCAAGTCGCCTTGATTGTTACCAGCATAACAACAACTGCGATTATAATTAGCGATAAAAACAAGCCACGAAACAAGCGAGTGTAGAATTTTCGCTCACAGCTTCAATGCACGAACAGTAATCAGTACTTTAATTAAGTGCAATGAAGCTTGTAATTACTATAATTGCCCTGAACAGTTCCCGTTACCTTTAAACACAAACCTCGAGATGTTTCGCGACTCCCCGTTGAACTAGTCTGTAGACGAAAACCTTAAGCGAGCATTCAAATGAAAGCTTAAAGGGGGCAATTTCTAGCTTTTCTCTGTGTTCAAAATTATATTTCTTAGAATATATTCTTTTGGATATTGGTTTCTTTCTGAGAAGCTACGCCGGTCCTTCTAAAACCGTTTGTTTTGCAGATCGAGTCGGAGACACTGAACTCGATGATGAGGTCACTGACTGCGCGCTTGTTGAACATCAGTTTAGGAAAGGATACATCAGATTAAGGGAATATTTAGAGAGAAAGAGAGGCTGTGGAAGGAAAGGTAATTTGTAAAAACAACTGGAATGCAGTTGAGTTGATCGGGAGTGAAACTGTAACAAGCGACAAGTATCGCGCGGAGGTGACAATGTTTGGGCACCTGTAACAGGTTATCTTGGCGGGTGCACGGAGATTGTATCTTCTCAAAATTTTTGTGTTTAAATCCGTGTGTATTTGATTTTGAAAGACATCAGCAAAAGTATTTGTGAAACTGGTTAGATTATAAAATTAAGTATAAGATGATGAGTCCTTGGTCATTTGGCAAATTTCCATCAAGCCAGAGCTTTTATAAGTCGTTTACCCAGCTGGCACTTTCTCTCTGAGTTGCTGCGGCCTTAACTGCTCAATGATGAACTGAAGACAAGGCTGTGAACTGCAGTCAGTTGGTGCACAGGTCGTGAGAGAACAAAAGAGAAAAGTAACAGTTACGTGTTTGTTTCTAGTCGCGCAGCTACTTCAGTGTCTACTACCATGAAGGTCTCGTTTTTCTCCGATAAAGCGACGCGGCGCCCACACATCGCGGATTAACAAGACTGAGGCGGTTCAGTAGGGTTAACGGTGAAGACTATAAATTAAACTTATTTTCAAAGAGAAAAACATGCTATTTTTTTAAATTGATTAGATAGCAAATATAAACAGGAGGACAAAGAAAGAACGGTGGAAACGAAAGCAAGGGACTGCCTCTCTATATCGGTTTGCATGCTTTAAAACAATTACAGTGGCTATCACAATCCGTTGCATTAAACTGAAAAATATTTTTGATCGTCTCAATTTTATTATTTTTTTTAGCCTTTTTGCTTAATGTTTTGATTTCTTGGACAAAAGGCCTTCTTCCCTAAAATGTACAAGTTGAAGTTTGGATGTATTGATTTTACACAGACAATGTGGGAAACTCTTCAAGTGTTCAAAATCCAACAGTCCAAAATGCTTCTTTCTTTGCAGGAAAACTACAAAACATAGAAGGAATAGCAGAGTCTACAGAAGATGACATTAACAACGAAAACATCGCGGAGATTGCTAAATCAACCACAGAGGATTATCACTACCTTGCTTCTGCTTCAAAAAAAGCACCTAAGCCTAAAACAATTCCTCAAGGTACCTGATTAAATGAGCACTAGAGAAAAAAGTATGTCAATGAACTATGAACAGGGTATCACAATTCTCTAAACTCCTTTGGTAAAATTCCGACACTGTATTCTATTACAATTTTCGCCTGACATAACATTGGTTAAGTCCATAGATCTGGTCAGAATCATCTAGTCCCTCTTCTGTTATTTAACGTGTCTTAATACAGTATTTACAATAGCAATGTTACGGCCTGCTGTTTCACTTATGCCGAGTGTTATTGAAAATCATGCTGCAGTTCGAGCAAGCACGAAATATTCAAACAGAAAAAAGTTTTTACTATGGTCTAAATATGTTTTCCCTTATAAGCACGTTGGTCACAAGTCTATCTATCATATCTGCACAACCCGCTCAGTGTTTGTTTTTTCTTTCTATTAAGTTATCAAGACCTACCAGTCTCATAAGATGGCCTATGTACCGCACGCTCTGATGGCAGGTTCGTATTCTCTACAGATCCATTGGTTTAAAATGGTTTAAGATACCTTTCATGCCTAGATAAAAGCTTCTATTTCTACTGCTACTAGCACCTACTATTCAGGGTTACTAGAACAGCACTTATAAAAATTGAAACCAGTTATTAAAAAAATACATTCTGAATTATCCTCTGAATTCTTGCAGAGTTAAGGCACTAACTTGACTGAAACATCGGCCCATGCAAGGGAATCCAAGACAGTTGTTTACCTACGGATCACTTAAGAACTTGTTGAAACGTGTCTGAGCGCTCCAGATCGAACTGGAATTTGGAAGTGCTGGTTTTTAAGGAGAGGGAATTTCGAACCCGGAAGGCGAGTGCTCTCACCACTGCCCCATCCTTGCCTCACGCCTTGGATTCCAGTTTTTGTCAGTGGAACTTGAATTCTGGATTCCAATCGTTATAATTAGTGGGATTCCGAAAACCTTGGGCTGTATTCCGGATGCCAAAGCTCAGGATTGTGGATTCCACAAGTAAAATTTTCCCGGATTCCGGTTTCCTCAACAATGCTCAAGTAAAAATTTATTGGAATCCGAAATCCAGATCTCCTTACATGGAAGGGAGGTGGGGAGGGGGAGAAACTGAAACAAAAATGAGATTTTTCAAAGAGAGATTTCATTTTAAAGAAGATTCCCCTTGTCCGTGTGATTGTAAATAAAAAAAGCATGTTTTTTTTAACAGGGAGAGAGATATGTATCTGACCCCAACATGCCTTTTTTATTTTCCTATTTAGGCCCTGTACCAATATACACACGTCCTGCACAACATCCTGCCATTCAAAGCGCATTCACAAGAGACCAAGCAGCCAGACCGAGTTTAAACGCCGATTATGAACGCAAATCTCAAAATCTTGCTCTGTCGTTCGAGAAAAACCCTCAGTTAACCACATCCAAGTCTGCCCTCCAGAAGCAGAATACGTTCGAGACAGAGAGCCCGCAATCGGAGACTGTCAGTGCGGCGTTCAGCAATGATGATCAATACACGCGGCTAGCGTCAGGCTATGACCAATACAAAGCTCAACCAAAGCATGATTTACTTCAGACATTTTACCCCAGCACTCTTCAAGATCGCTCCAAAACACGCTTCACCGTAGCTGTTGGACAACCCCTCTATAAGACACCGACATTTTCCAAAGCTCCAGCACTAAATGGTGCACAAGACATGCCAAACAAAGGTTCGGCAATGAAGAACTTCGGTTACTCTGCCTTGAAGAGGCCTGTCATTGCGAACGCGTTCAATAGCGCTCACGTTAAACCTAAGATAAACAGCAAACCGGCCGATGTAACCAACTATTCTGATGAAAATATCGATGACGCGCATGCTGACATGCGCGATCCAGAGAAAGATGCAGACAATATTGACATTGGTTCTATTGATCAAAAACCCGCTCCGGAGCCTGGGATTGACAACGAAAAACCAGTCAACGGTGCCACAAACATGCCAAGTATACCTGTAGGTCGGAGACCTGGTAGTGAACTAAGACCTATTAATTCAAACTCATTAAGCGGCTTCCAAAAACCAGGTATACAGAACATTTCTGTAGTGAAAGGAAGTCCACTGCTTGTAAAGAGTCCTATAAAGAGTGCTTCACCGGCTGTCAACATTCCCCACCCATCAATCAACCTCGAGGTCCTCAAAAATAAAATCATGCACAGCACCAATGCAACATTCTTGCGACGCATGCTCACTCTCATCCAAAAGATCACTCATCACAAAGATTATCAGAAGCTCCAGGGTCCCGCAAGGAGCTTTGTTGCGCAAGCGAATACAGCTGTCCAAGCCCTTAACAAAGCCTACAACGAGCGGGTCTCGACTACACCTGTTGGCTTTGCAGAGACAAGTAACCCTCTTTACGAAAGTGCACTGAGAAAGAAGTCTACAGTCCAAACGGGGCTAAATGCGGCGGGTTACAATAACAGATTGCCTGGTGCTACCAACCAGTTTTACGGAAATGATTTTGCGCTGAGAAAAAAGTCCGCTGTTCAAGCACTTAACAGCGGGTTCAACAACGGAGTTGCGATGTCAACGGCCCCTCAGAGAGCTGATAACCAGTTTTACGGAAATGGGTATTCGTTAGTCAAAAAGTTTCAAATTGAAAGAAATCCATATTACCAGAACTATTATCAATACAGACAACCATACTACAGAAACATTTTAAGCATGCGATATGGTTTGTACAACGGCAATACACCATAATATCCACTTTAAATAATCCTAGTCACCTCCCTCTCAGTTCAATGAACGGTATACGTACAGTACAGCTAGAGTAAAGAGACTTACTTTTCTCAGAGGCAGTGAAAAGTTTTAAAAACTGCTTTGTAAAGGCAAATTCTAACACATTTTAATTTGCTAATCTCATGCGAATAACTGTTCAGGAACATCATTGGATGGTTTGTTGTCTTTGAAAAATTTGATTAATTTTGACCTCTTGGATCTAGAACTCTGACTTCAGACCTAACCTGCGTTCCAGACGAACTCTACCCATTAAAGGGAACCTCCACTCTTACTACAGAATAAGTTTAAATCGAATAAAATTATGTTGATAAACAAATTTGTTCGAAATTTGTCTTAAAAAAAGTGTTTATATCAGGAAAAGTGAATTTTAAAATCGCTTATTTTCACTTTCAAATTTCGCGGCGCCGCCATCTTGAATAATTGTGACGTGTTACGGTTGCTCTATTGTTCTGACACAAAGAGCTTTTGTTTAATAACAATAGGGCAACCATTACACGTCACAATTATTCAAGATGGCGACGCCCGCAAAATCTGAAAACAAAAATAGGCGAATCTAAAAGTTATTTCTTTCGGATACAAACGCTTTCTTTAAAAATATTTTAGATTGACTTGACTGTAACAGTTATTTCCTGTGATTTAACGTTATCTTTTTGTTGAAGTGGAGGTTCCCTTTAAATCTATGGAGCAGTATTGACATGACGTTAGGCCGGTCTGCCATATTGGAGTCCGAGAACAAATAAAACGGCGGCCATATTGGTGTCCCAAACCAGCCCTGTGGGAGTTGGACCATTTTCTTACGTAAAAAAACTTTCTTCTGTTCCGCTAAATCTACATAGGTGCCGGTCACATGAACGTAAACACTCTATAGCGTTAGATTACAGCTGCGTCATCCATTATTCTAATAGTACTAATTTTCTTAAGTTGTATGACACTTAATCCTTTTTACAAAGAAATTTTTTTTTCACATGCAGGCGCAAGTAGATTGAGGCATAATTGGGATTCGACGAATCTATGTTTTAAGCTATGTTCACACTAGCTTTTCCTCCGCCTTGAAAACCATACCAGATAGGGCCTTTGTTCACACATAAGAACGGTGATTTCGGCGCGATTTCTGTTACGAAGCGAGGCTTCTCCGCGCCGATGTCAAAAGTGAGGTGACGTCACGTATCAGATAGGTTCTGTGGCACACTTTGGTGCAGCAGTGTGAACAGGGATGTTCGACTTGTTCCCGGCATGCAGTGGTGTGCCATTGCGCGCTGTTCATACTAAACTGGTTCGCTTTTCGTATCGGCACAAAAAGCAATCCGCCATGAACATAGCCTTAGTTCACCATAAAGCTACTGCTTTGAAATTACATAATGCGAGACAACAATAATAAAAACGTCCGTATTTCCGTAGTACTGCTATGAATTATTGTTTAAGGATCAATTCTTAAAGATTTCAAAGTAAATCAGTGATAGTTGCAGTAAGTTACCGGTAGGTGCCTTCTGATTGTTATGCCCGAACATGAGTACAACTCTCATTACCTAATACAAAATAGCAACAACAACAAATTTATTTATTGTACCCAAAGCAGAATATTATAGTTATTTTACAAGTTGTTGAATTAATCAATTAACTAAAAGGGGTACTAACTTCCTGAAATAACTAATAAGTTAAAAATGCCAAGAAGCCAGATTCAGTAAGATAATTTAAGTAAGTTTATTGTGCGGGGTACAATATGGCAGCAGATCAGACTGTATACACACAAACACACACACATACACATTTACAGTTATATGATTTTCTGACATATTAACACAGAAATGGCAATTAGACAGACTTACCCGACAGAAAAGTAAGTAAAATATTGAAAATTACGTATAATGTCGCACGAAGAAAAATCGTGGCGATCTTGTTTCACCACTGCTGACCCAACAGCAACCCTAATAGTCAAACTAAATCGGACCAAAAAAGGGTCATAAAAATGAAGTGGATAAGATAAAATAAAATAATTTCTCCAAGTTTGTAGAATTTTGAACATTCCCATTTCCCCCCACCCCCCACCCTCGCCTCTACTTCAAGATCAAAGAATAATCAGCCTGTTCCAGGCTACAAGATAGCGCACGGGGAAAGCGGATCGAGAAAAACTGCATGAAAAGTGTGTGGGGGTGGGGAGAGATGAAGTAGTGGAGCCTATAAGCATTGTTTTTAATACCTCATTCCGATATACTAGCTGCTGGTATACTCTACGATTGGTCAATTGAGACGGCCTCCTACACCGCAACTTTCGACTCTTTGACTTTTTGACACGAAAAACGGTTGTTTAGGAAGTGGGCGGATTGAGAATATGAAAAGATGCCAACAGACTCTCCCCTTCTCTCTTCCCGCCGTTTTCGCCCGTTCGCTATTTTACTGCTTGCTCGCTTGTTTCGCTCGTCCGCACTGACAGAGAGCCTGCTGGCATTGGCCAGGACTAAATATCATCAAGGAATTTTTGGTTATGTTTTTCCAGAACTTCGAAATCCAAGCCTTCTATTCACCACACCAGAGGAATAAAACTTATATCCCTACAAAATGTAGATAGGTAGACATTTTATTTGATGAGAAAGTCTCATACTCATAACAGGCCACTTTTGAAAATTAAAAAAAAAATACTTATAATTATTATACTGCCTTCTCCACAGGTTTTCTCAAGGATTAGCGGAAAACCAGCGAATTTTCGATACGAAAGCGACGTGCTGGAGACGAGCGACGAGGGCTAGTAAGAGATTACAGGGACGAGCGCAGATCGCGAACAGGGAGCCCATCACATCACCCTTGTTTTAATATGACTCAAATATTCTCTAAACAAGCGGTCGCGAGTGACTGAGGACGAGGCAGCTTAACATAAATCTTAACTTGGGAGACCCGTTAATCTGGCCCCAGGAGGGTGGGTTAGGGGCAAGGAAAGTTCCCTGTTCGCTCGAGGTTTAATTAATATCCGGCGACACTTTCATGTTCACTACTTTACGAGCCCCATATTAGTTCAGCCAGGACTCCTTGTATTACAAAACCTTACCTTGACACTTTGGTAAAACTCACTATGGATCAGCATCTTTTCTTTTCAGTTTTTTTATCTTTCTGTTTTAAGAATATTACCCTAACAAAATTAATATACTCTTCGTAGTTTGACTGGTGCATCATAAATAGTAAAACTGTTGTCTTCATACTGGTTGATACTGGATTCCCCATATTCATGATGGTAAATATCCATCCGTTTCGTTGTTTTTTCCCCGGCGTTTTTTCACAGTTCTTATTGTTGTTGTCAGGATCGAGAAAAGCCTTGACCTTACGGGACCTTACGGGAACTAACGGGACCTTACAGGACCATCAGGGCTTTCAATGCGGATATCAGTCAATAATTGTGGCTCAGTCTCTCCAAACGGATAATCTCCGCCTTGTTCCAAAACGTCATGTTCATTTTTGGTCTGTGCGCGGTGCTTTTGAATTCGTCAATACTCGGTACCAGCTTAAATTGATAGCAGCCAAAATCTCGGCCAATCAAACGAAGGGATTTTCGTGTTATGTGTTAAAATTATGACAATATTGATTTCCTCTTTACACATCCAATTGGTTTTCGTTAAAATTCTTATAACGTAATTCCAAACTGTTAGGTGAGATATACCTCCAGCAACGCAACAACTAAATTTGGCGAATTATTTTATGGGTTTTTCATTCAAGTACAGCGTTTTAAATTTTGAAGCTTTCCTTTAGTGCCTAGCCAAGCAAAAGTCTAACGGTCTCGCTTCCGAAGATGCATCCCTTCACATTTGCCTGGGTATTGTTTGCATTTTACGCGGGTCTTACCTCAGGAAAACCAACAAAACACAAACTAGTTTCAAAAAAGGTCGACAAAAGATGGGACCTCCTAGTCAATGACGACCGTAAGTCAATCTGTAATTTAATGTCAGCTCTTTGTCGTAACGCCTTAAACCAAATTTTGAACATTAAAACTAGTAACTGTGATGGCAAGAGGTATCAAAACCTCGGCCAGCATTTACGCGAGAGTTACTAGTTTTTAGTCCGGTTCCTGACACCTGTTCACCTTTCCTGTGTGTTGTTATCAGTGGGTGGTGTTGTTCTTTATTTATCTTTTAAATGTTAACATTGTTTGATTTGAAATGAAACATAAAATGAATGGCCTAACGAAGATTGAACGACCAATTGTAAAAATTTCAAGAGGGAGCAGCAGTAACGTTATATGTAATCTTACCCCGGCATGGGTTAATCGTACTCTACGGGTATCAAAGAATCTCAACTCCTTCGCGGTACCTCAAAAGATTGATTGCAGGTTCTTCAAGTTCGTTCTAACTTCCGAACGAAAAGAGGGTGGGGCAATTTGTGCATTACATAGTAAGAACATGGTCTGTCATATCAGACTATATGGAGTCTAGCTTTATATGTTATGTTTAGTTTACGTCTAACCATCGATAGTTTCATTTTAAGCTAAGTTGTCATAGTCAGGTGTATTAAGTACAAATCTATTTCAAAGAGAGGTTTATCGCTAACTACACAAAAACTGTATTGGAATAAGCAACGACAATCGCACAAGCATTGTATTATAATTAAACCAGCGTACAAGAAGATGGAGGGGGGGAGGGGGTAGGGGTGAAGGTGCAAATGCCATGCGTCTTGTGTCGCAGAGCACGAGCCCTCATAGTGCAGCCCAACTAATTGAGCCTTAGGGTCAGAACTGAGCAGATGAAATGTTTAACGAGTTTACATTGTTCTCGTTAGGTTAAATTTTATTGTATTTTTATTCATATTCATTATTATTGTAAATCTCTGTACGTAAAAATAGAGAAACTTAAATTGAATTGAAACCATGGCTGAGATTACAACCGATATGAACATATTATGGTCACCTCTATCGGACCGAATCGAAAAATAAAAACTTAAAACACTTGCTTGAATGTTTAACTTAACCGAGGGTTTTTGCATGAGGTGCTCAAACCTAAGTAATCAGTTAGATTACCTGAAATTTCTCAGTTCTTGATCAGTATTTCTCAGCTATCTGTGATATATCTTTAACTTAGCTATCAGCATCAAAACCTTTCATTTGACGACAGTACAACTTTTGACCAGTTCGTTGCTGCCCATGCATCCAGTACTTGCCATTCCAGTCTTATAACCAATGATGCACTTCGAATAATTCGAATTCAGAAGTCAATGAAAGCGGTTTCCAATGATCAAGTCAGTGAGTCTTAACACCAATAGTAACTAAAGTTATTGTGCAAGACTGTCTCATAATGTCTGTCTCGGAATTTCGTAGCAAGTACATATACGTAACATGTCAGATCGCTGGGTGTGAAGTGTGTGCAAGCCATGATTAGCCTCTGTAGTATAACTGAGAAAGTGGTACAAATTTTTTCAGCAACTTCTATCGCGTGGCAGTTTAGAATTAAAGTGATGCGAAATTCAGGTTATCTCATCTGTCGATTGAAAGTTATCTATACAGAAATAAAAACTAAAAAGTTGTAAGTCAGTTGCACACTACTCTACGTTCAAGGTATGCCGGTCTGGATCGTCTCAGCCGGCGCGCGCAGCTAGCAGCCGTATCACCCAGTCGAACTAACAAACTTGCACCAGCGTTTCTTCTTTCACAGAAAGTCATAAGCATAGCTAGATTACTATACTTAGGGTATAGATGCTGTCGAACAGCTGTCCGTGACTAACACGGAAATTGCAAGTCCGTTATGTTCTCATTTGTGATATGTAGTTCGGAAGCCCCTAGACAACCTGAGAAGGAGAACTGACGGGCGTTACCAAAAGGTTATAAAAGGAAAAAAAATACCTGCAACATCGTAAACAATCTCATCTCCTTTAGCTGGTGTTTAAATGTCATGGTTGAAAGTTCTTTACATGTAAATGTTCTATTATTTATAAGTTGCCGGATTATTTTCGTAACGAAGAAAGTTGGGAGAGCGCGCGCGTTTCTGAGCGATCTGGTGAACCGTGAAAAAGAGATTCAAAAGATTCCTTTGGTGTTTTCCATAATCAGTTTGGAACTTCAAGCCCAGACAATGAGCCGACTTACTGCTCTTTTTATTCTTCTTGTTGTTATTTCGATTTGCGCGGCTAAGTCGTCGAAAAAGACCGCCAAAAGCAAATCAAGCAAGGTGATCCAAATTCATAAACACAAAGATGCGGAACACAAGAATAACAAGGGGCACAAGGCTAGCACCGCGAAAAAACATGACTCTGTTAAGAAAGAAAGTAAACAACACAAGTCTGCTGATAAAGCTACCAACAAAACTTTACCGGCTGATAAAAGTTCCAATGCTACCGCTGATAATAAGATTGCCAACAAGACTACTGTAGCAAAGAATGGAAATAAAACTCAAGGTAAATCTTATCAAGAGTTTTAACAATGTTAAAAATATAAATAGACGATTGTTATGACAGCAGCAGGTACCTACCTGGTTACTTTGCAAAAATAAATCACTGTATTGGAGACTGGCAATCTGATCGAGCAAAGATTTTAGAAAGCGATTTAGTTTACATGTTGGAAAAAATGATTAGAATGAGTAGGTAATAAAATCAGCCGACGAAGGGCATTCAAGATTGGGTTTTTCATTTCTCCAGCAGATAAATACAGGTTTTCACTTAGTCTGAATATGTTTATGATGTCTAATGGACGAAAACGTTATTCTACTGCTGATCGGCTATTAAGCTAAAAATCTTTGGCGGGTGCAATCTTAGGAATCAGCGTAAGTTGAAGGCCAGAACTTTGGTCTCTGATAAAGTGAGAGGGTGTTCAAAATACTACGACGACGTCTTGGCCAAAATAAACTGATACATCAGCTGACCGAAAAGTCTCATAAAACTCCTCAGTGAACTTGCTTTATATGGCTGAAGGAGTTTTTGTTGTTTTTTTTTGTTGCTAGTGCAATTTTTGCAGTTTATATAATTATTGTCGGGAATACAGTCAATGTCTAGGAACAGGAAAGGGTCAAGATAGAAACTCGTCGCTTATCTTACATTATTTATGAAAAAGGGAAAACAGAAGAGTTTTCCTGTAGGTCGATAGCTGTAACATCCATAGTAGCGTTGTTATCAATATTCGAGTGTCATGGAACAACTAGACATTACCGTGAGCACAATATACAGACATATGTATGTTTGTTTCTTACTTTGCAATATTGACAGAAGTATATAATTATAAACTGACAGTTGTCCATGCCATAATAAGCGCCATAGCAAATATCATGTAGAAGTTAACAGTTAATTATCATCTTCCGAGTTTGGGTCAGGGACATTTCTCTGAAATAAGTTTCCGATAAATATCCTCTTTGTTTCACAATGCAAGACGAGAGGTCACCGACGTGCGTCTCGTTTAGTCACATCGGCACAGAACTTTTCTTCTAAGTTAAGGTGATGGATGTTACACGGGACGATTCGCAACGACGATTTTTAGCACAACAATGTTGTAACCATTCGGCGAAACAATGTCGCAACAATTGTGACGTTGTATTTCGCTTAAGTGTCATTGCGAATCATCAGTCGCGTAACCATCACCTTTAAGCATTTTCACATCAGTTACCAATTAGCAGTTCTTGACAGATTTCTGCAGTGGTAATTATACACTAGTCATCAAGTTTACAAGGAGTAAACTTTATAAAACGTCTTTAACTAGCAAAACTAATCTTTTCTTAAATACTCTTTCTTACCCCTGGCATATCTAATATGATCCTTCTATAAAGAGATCTCAAACTGCAACATGCCAATAGTAACTGCACTAGTAGAGGAGACTGAAATGTCTCAACGTATAATTGAGCGGGCCACCATGCATGTATTTGTCAAAAATGTAAGTTTAATCTGTTTACCCACTAAAACTAGAAGGGAGAAAACCTGAGCATCGGAGGAAAATCTCTCGGAAACTCAATGCTGAATTGAACTCTGGTTGCAATAATCAGAGGCAAGTGCATGCCTCGTTACCACCTTTACTTGTCCTATGCTGGACTTTCCCATACATAGCAATGTAGCTAGCCGTATATAGTAGTTTTAGAGCGGAGAAATAGTGAGCATCTTGGTGAACAATGTATATTTATCTTACTACTAGAAAAAATAAGTAACGCGTACGGTGATCTAGTAAGTGAATTATCACTGTAAGTTAGGGTTGATGATATATCATTACAGGGATATTCAAAGGAATTATTACTATGGCCAAATGCAAAAGCCAACCTTTCTTATTACATTGTAGCATTAAGCTAACCTTGGTTATAACGGTTTTTGCATCCGCATTTCTCTTCACAGCAATTTTAGCTCAGGGCACACCATCTGATTGTCAAAGTATCGTGGAAGACTACTCCAAAGGGAAGCTTCTCATGTATGAGTACAAAATCCAGATGAAACGCTGCATGAATAAAGCAAAGGAAGGAGGTAAATCAATTACACAGTCAAGCGAATGATAATGATTTAACATCGTTTGAATAAAATTAACTAACCCACTAACAACTAACCAACATAACTGACCCTAATAATAGCTAGCATGGCCGACGCAAAATCAGCGCTGTTGCGTCCAGACGACAGCTCTATAGAAGAGGACTCTGATCAGGCCGTTAATGTCAGGCCATACAATGAACACGTGACAGACGAGGAGAATGATAATAACCATGACGAGTTTCACGAGAATGATAATGATAACGATTACAATGATGATGATGATGATGATGACGAAGACCCTGAAGAAAAACCAGGTGTGATTGGATATTAAACGGTTATGAAAAATGTAACTCATTTGCAAATTATGCATGAAACGTGCTAAAACAATCATTACATTAACGGAAGAGGAAATGGGATTGTTTGGGAACAAAGGAAAAATTTGGAAGTAGAATTAAAAAGGGTGTGAAAATAAATCAGTATATTATTAATAAATAAATTGGAATATCATGGATAACAGGAAGAGTTAACTTGGATTTCAGTCTACAGCTTTTTATGTGAGCGAAAACTCCAAAAATGCTGTTTTTATCAAGAATTAACCTGTAACAGCAACACCAACAGCAATAATAACAATAATAATAATAATAATAATAATAATAATGATAATAATAATCTCGGTTAATCAGGCGAAGACAATTCCATGTTATGTGTTGAACTTATGACAACATTGATTTCCTCTTTGCGGATACAACTGGTTTTTCGTCAAAACTCTTATTATGACGTAATACCAAAACAGGTTAGGTGAGATATACCTCCAGCATCCGATCAACCAAATTTGGTGACATATTTTTAATGAATTTCTCAATCAAGTACAGCGTTTTAAATTTGAAGCTTTCCTTTAGTGCCTAGTCAAGCAAAAATCTAACGGTCTCGCTTCAGAAAATGCATCCCTTCACATTAGCTCACATTTGCCTGGGTATTGTTAGCATTTTAAGTGGGTCTAACCTCAGGAAAACCAACAAAGTACAAACTAGTTTCAAAAAAGATCGACAAAAGATCGGAGCTCCTAGTCAATGATAATAACAATAAAATCTCGAATACCTTAGTAAAAAAGTTAGTCAAGAAACCTTATATAAAGACTGAAATATAGACATCAAAGATAGACATCTATGCAGCCGGAGCGTATGGGCAAATTTTGGCATCGGGTTCTGGTTTAGCACTCAGCCGAAAGACAAAACGGAAAAGGATATGCCAGTGGTTAAGTCAAGGCGAGATAAGCCCCTTTCTACTTTTTTACTCATCCCCTGTAGGTGGGGAACTTTCATATCTTAAAAAGTAATTGGACGAAATTTATTTCCCATGCTAAGCTTATTTATGCGTTTTCAAGTATTTAGTGTTTAGACGAGCAAGGAATATATTGATTAACTTACCCTCGTTCTTGAACATCTTAGGTAGTTTACTGATAGAGCAGGTCAGACGAATTTTGAACTGATTATTAATATATTTTTACTTCCTTTATTATCCGCTATAGAGAAAAAGATGGAGGTTCCAGGGCTTATGAGTTATCAGTCTCTTAATGCGCCTATGATGAATTACAACATGGTTCCTCAACAGCAGGCGGCGCCGGTACCAGAACTGCAAACCGCTAACTTCTACCCCACCATGGGTAAAAATCAAACTTTTCTTTTAATTAATTTACTTTCATCAAAAACTTTCTTGAAATGTGACGAATTATAGGTTTTCCCATCATGAATTATGTAATGTACTCATTTGTGAGCTGCCCTAAATCCGCGATCACTATAGCAGGCAGAAAACGCATGATATAACTCACTTACCTTGCGAAAAATATAACCAGAACTTTCCAAGTATCTAGAAAAAAAAATAGTTGGAAGTTAAGTGTGGGAGTTTGATTTAAGATCTGACGCTCTACAGGCAAGGCCCCCAGATTACTAAAACATAATGAAACATTCACATTCATGAATTATCTACAATAGTCGTTCATCGGCCTTGCCAGCAAACAATCCGAGAGAGCTTGCTCAGAAACTATTTATCGGTTATAATTAAGGCGCAGTTTATTCAGTATCGCCAGATATCAGTGCTAATGATCTGTGTTGTTTTCCAGTTGACACTTGATTGTTTTCACTGGTGCATTTGAGGGTTCTGTAGGTTGGTTGCAGAGGGGGAAGGAAGTCAAGGGAAGAAAGGGAAAAAAACTAATGTCCCTCCGGGGTCCCTGGGTCATGATTCACCTCAGGTCTTAGCTGTAGGATTCACGTTAACACAGAAGCTATGCATGTAGTTAATTAGTTTCACATCGTGATTTCTAGACCAAGCCCAGTCACTCAACACAGCCGTACCACAGCAAAACCAGGAAGCATTTGCTCCCAGTGCTATAAACCAATACCAGGCGAATCCTGCTCCTCTTCAATCAACTGTCCCAAATATGGCCATGAATCTTGCTGTAGCTAAGAGCAACATACCAGGAAATACACAGGTCAGTTTTATCATTACTTGAGTTTACATCGGTAGGCCACCACGTGGCAGACGCTTTCCGGCGTGGCTGAGTACATGGTTGTGACTGCATTTGTTCAGTAGTCCAGGATTCAACTCTTTGACCATGTTAATTTATCAATTTTGTTCTCGGTCATGTCGCTCCTTGCAAATATGTCGCAAAAATGTAAAAAATGAAGAGTAAATATGGGACAAAGATGGTAGATGCTCATTTGATCACATTTGCGTACTGAAACACAGGGGCTGTAAATAACTAGAAAAATGTTGCATTTAACATCTTTTCCCCAGCTTTACCCCTTAGGTTTTTCAGTGTGACATATTTGCCAGGAGCAAATTTTTCCAAATCCATTTTTTGGCCCAGTGTTGCCCTCTGTATGCTATCTTCAACTTTAGTTTTCAAAACCATGAATAAAGCCAGGAGCCCAAAAGCACCATCACTAAAACTGTTTTACAAAACCCTCCCCATATCTCTCACCCTTATTTTTGTCTTTAACAATCTTTTTCCGGCCACAGAACACTGCCTCCCAAGCAAATGCAGTTTTCGACCAGTGGCGAGCTAGTAGCTTTGGTGCCACAACTGCTGAAAAAAAAGATCAAACGCCTAATGCACCTGCCGTGCCCGTTAATGATCCATTTGCTGAATTTATGAAGATGCAGTCTACCAGCAGCAACAGCCTTGAAGCAATGCCTGCAAGCCAGCAAGCAGCTATGCCAGCGGCAGTAGAGCAAAGAAGCAACATTCCACAACAACCCGCAAGTATGTCAGTTCCTATGCAGCCCCAGATCACCAACGCGGTCCCAAGTCAAAGCCAGGCCTTTTACGTGCAACCACAAGAAAATGAAGACTTCCCTAAAAATCCTTGAAAATTTGAGTGTAAAGTGTTTCAGTGACGTGTTTTCGGAAACACTTTTTTGGGCATTATAGCATCCCACTATGTGGAGTGCGCTATGTATGATATCAGGATTTTCTCATTGGAGAGAAGCTTAAACATCATTCAGCTTTCTTTTAGCTTAACTTAACAGGGCCTCTACTCGGAATCAGTTTCCCGCTCTGTCGTCTGACAGTTTGATCAGTAAGACTAATGTCTTTTAACTTCTGCTGTCAAATAAAGGTGTTGTATTTCTAACACAGCGTCCTGGAGTCATGTAACTAAAGCTTCCTAGGACATTACAAAAATTGAACTTCCAAATTTTGTTAAAAATTTAAATCATTCTCAGGACTGAACCAAAAATTGTGCCTGTACTTCAATACCCCCCAACTTCGTTCCCAGGAATTTTCGGTAACGGGGTTCCCGCCTAAGCTACCCCCGCATTTGACTCCTTTGCCGTCCCCGGGGGGGGATTCAAATCAAATTCTTCTGGGGGAGAGGAATTTGAGACCAATGCATAGTAAGGGGTTGGGATTTTGAGCCGTTGCCACTATTTCTTGTGACACGCGCTGTTGAACATATAAGCTACACTGGACAGTTAACAATGTTTGCGGTATATTTGAAGGTACCTTTAAAATGTCTTTTTTTATGATTCTTAGTTTGAACATTGAAAATTGAAAGTTGTGTCTATAATAGATACAATACAGTTCATTTGCTTTCAAAATTATTAGAGGTCAAATGATGTCTGATCGCGAAAATTGTCCACGAAAATTCTAAAATGCCCGCGGTGCATCATCGGAACTGATGCTGAGGGTCTCATAATCTATAGACTACGAGTAGTCGCCCATTTTTCCTCAGGGATAGTAGAGCGAGCAAAACGCGTGCGCGCGTGAAAATCAACCCACGCGAGAAAAGGCGACACGCAGCGGGAGACAAAACGTGTCGCCTTTTCTGGCGTGGGTTGATTTCCACGGGCGTTCGCGTTTGGCTCGCTCTACTATCCCTGAGGAAAAATGGGGGACTACTCGTAGTCTACATAATCTATAAATTCAGCCGCTTTCTACGATAGTTTTGTTCATATTATACATGGCCACAGTGCTTTCTCAGTAAGGTTTGATTGTATTTGATGCCATTAATTTGCCGTATTTATAAAGTTTTTGTTCAACAACCGTCAGCGCTGAACCGTGTGAAACTTGAGATACTATGCAGCGGTCAGTTACAGACACCTTAGCGCTCTCTCGTTGTTCATTGAAACCTGTCCGATAGACTTGCTTCAAGAGTACTGGAAGAAGAGTAATATGGACACTCTTTAATTTCCTCAGGGGTGGAGACATATGACCAGCTACCGTAAAATAGACAAATTCAAATGCCCGGGGGGCTGCTTGGAGGGATATTTCGATCGATGACCGGTGGGAGTTTGTTTTTTGTCTTTGGCTTTGAAGGCTATTTTGTCGAAGATGGGGTAGAACTACACGGCAATTTTGGTCCCGATTAGTAAATTTTTTTGCCGAAAAAATAAGAAACAACAAAATCAACCCGCTTATGGCTACTGAACTCACTTTTTCGTATAAAATCCTGTTTTATCTTAGCGTGCGTAGCTGGCGGGATTAGCCGGCGATCGGTGCTGTTAAGCATCAGGCGAACATACGAAAATCTCAAGGGAAGTTTGGGTAGAGGCCGGCAAACCCCGACCCTATTTAAGACGAAAACTTCTCATTTCGCTACCCTGTTTAAGACAGGAGACACTACTTTCCGACCCTGATTTGCTTCGATTTGCATACAGAATTTAGTAATTTTTCGCATTAAAATCGTGGAAATAGATATTTAGGAAAAAAATTATCGCTATTGCAAATGTAGACCCCTCATCGCAAGTCTTCAGACTCTTTGAAAGGCTTCTAGTCCAAAAAGACATCCCGTTCAAGACGCTCAATAGTGAAATTGTATACCCTGTTTTTAAAAGACTCAACACCCTGAAAACCATAGCCTGTTCAGCGGCACATACCCGTATACATGGGCCAAATAAGGGAGTACCCGCCGCCCCCCACCCCCCGGGCAGTAAAGATCAATTTGCCGTTTCATATTTTTCTACAAGTCTACAACTGGGTCATTGGTTTGTTCCTGTGGACTAGACTTGCTACAAGTCGACCTCTTGGCGAGGGGAGCGAGCCTTGTTTGGCCGCGAAGCGGCCAACCGCGAGCAACGAAGTCGCGAGAGGTCCAAAGAAGGACTTTTGGAAAGTCGACCTGTGGACTTGCTCATATTTTTACTATTTCGTATTGCATCACGGGATAGCGTCAAAATGCCTGAACCAGTTTGACGAGAATTGTATTGACCAATCAGAAAGCTTCTTACCGCAAAGTGCTCGGCACATGCTCGATTGTCGGCGTCTGGTGAAGAAGGAAGACATTTTGGAAGAGACAACTGGTTGATCTGTTACATCGTCGTTTTCGAATTCGGTATGACTGGAGGTTATAGCGGGAGAAAACTGTTTGTCGGTGGGCTCCCTCCAAAGGTCGACGACAAGGCTCTGCATGATGTATTTTCTCGTTTCTGGCACATTGAGGAAGGTTTGTATTCGATAGGTTAGATCAGCACTTCGATCAATAATTACATGTAATAGCCTGGAAACTATTTATTTCCCTATTGCGTAAAAAAGCAAGCTTATAGAAAATACGATTGCCGTTTTCTCTGATTGTATATATTGGTCTGGGCTATCTAGTTACACTTGCAAAAGATATAATTGCGACGTGTCGCTCGAATGAATTTGGCTTCCTTGTCATGATCACGTGGGCGCTTGCAGTTTTTAGTACACTAGACTTTATTGCTTTTTGCTTAAACTATATACCTGTATTGCAGACGAAATATGTATATCAGTGACTTGAATTTCTAGTTTAATTTGCAAGAAATCACATAATATAACTGAATATGAGCTTATATGTCAGTTGTCACAATCTACAGTACCGTTCAAAAGTAAGTTGGCAGCATTGCCAGAAATTAGGGACAAGATGGCGCTTGCGCGTGCGCACCAAGGCCATAATGGCTGTGAATTCGTACAAGAAAATGTATGGAGATAAGGAAACTTGTTCAAATATATTGATTATGAGCTTACGGGTCTTCGGTGCACGACTCGAAACATGTTGAGTGCTGTGTAACCTTCGCATCTGGGTTAAAAATGGCTAATTAGAAGTAGGTTTACTTACTTCCCGAAGTGGCCACTTTTATCTCTCATTGTATGCTCCATTTCTCCATACATTGTCTTAAAATCTTGCCGAAGTCATGTGAAATACTCGTCGATTAGAGGATAAACCCTTCAATGAAGTAAATTTGCACGACTCTATATCACTTCTGCGATGTAAGATGTTTCCTAAACAGTCATAAAAAGGACGATTTTGGCACTGCAAAATACTTCCAAAGGCGCATTATTTCCCTCAGTTTTCCATCTGTAGTCCAGTATTGGACGCCATAGTTGCGAATGACACATTTCGGTTGGACAAAGCTTTGCAACTCCAAACCTCACCGAATCGCCATTTTGTTTGTTGCTACAACTCCAGAGATGCTTCACGGGATATAAACTAGGTTCCAGGCATTCAAAAATCCTCGATTAGCCTACCAGGCTTGGTTTTAAAACAAAATTGTCACGAAAATGTCACGAAAGGTACATCCTCGTACTGTTTTCAGGGTTGTCATTAAGAGCCGGGGGCCGGGGATTTTCCCCGGCTACTAAGAGAGTGGCCCCCGGCTTCTTTTATTGGAAAATGGAGAGAAAATAGAAGCAAAAGAAATCCCTAGCCGTTTGATTCCCCGCCTACTTGTTGTATTTACCCGGCAACTTGAAATCTTAGTGACAACCCTGTGTTTTGTTGCTATCAGCCGCTCGGCCGAGTATAAACCTAACATTTTCTTGCAAGGTGTTTTATTCCAGCTTTTTTCTTTGTAAAACAGATCCACAGAGGTCAAATTATTTAGAAAATCACAGGGGATACGCTTTCCCTGACTGCGATCGTTTTTGTCCGTCATTTTGAAAATAAGATTCCGCTGACAATTAATCATGGGTGCGAAATGTCCACGATTTCTGGCAATGCTGTTGCGAGTCTCAATTCTCGACTCGATTTGCACTTCTCGATTCCCGCGAGAATCGAGAACAAGCTATCGAGAATCGAGTCGAGGATCGAGTCTTGCTGTACAGAAAACGATAGATTCATCAATCACTGATTTCTCAATAATTTTACAAAGACCTAAAGCTGTAACACAACACGGCATGGTTATATTCGGACAAGCGACTGTGCACGTGTGGTTGAAACAAGACCAATTCAAGTCATAAAGGGAATGTTTCTTTCAAGGACATCTGTATCAAGCTTCATTTCCTCAAGTAAAGTTTCAAATGCCTTCTCCAAATGCAAACAAACAGTGTTTACTCGTTTGCAAGTAACAGCATGTTTATTTTGTAACGTGAAACGATTCTAGGCTTATCCGGCTGCTTGGCTTGATAAGCTAGATAGATCAGCTGGAACATACACATCCATCCATAACATGACTAATCTCTGAAACTGCGTTCGTGATTCTCGAAAACTTTCGAGAAACAATGGTTCTAATTCTAGTAGGAAATTTGCGCGTTCTTTAAAGTTTGAGGTCTGTGAGATAATTTCTCTTAAAATTGGGCTTGTTTCTTCCGTGATGGAACATGATACTGGTGAACTTTTTTGTTGCCTAGCACGTGACTGCAACTACCGTGATGAAAAATTGTGTGATGTTAATTTCAAAAGCGGACTTAGTTGCACAAGACAAAATATTGTTTTCAAAGCTCTTGGATGTTTTAGAAGTTTTCTGAAACTTTACATGTATATTCAAATTGAAGCTTTTATGTACGCAATCACTTCTCATAAAAAGCAACGGGCGAAATATCAAACGGAGATGCTCTCGCGTATCACATAAACAGCAATTCTAGTCAAGAGGTCAAATTACAAGTGAAGTTTCCAGCGAAAAAACCCCCCCAAACTGTAGACACCGACAATCAGACATTCAACTGCAATAATGCCGATGGACATTCACAAACAGGCAATCGAAAAAATATTGGCAGGTAAAATTCGAAAGCAATGAGAAGCCCTTTTGAGACTTTTTTTACACACTGTCATGTATTTGTCATTTATTTACACAAGCTGCCTTTTACATGTATTTGGATTTTACAGATAAAAAGTCATAAATGGGTTTTCAAGTTCAACTATTACTGACAATTTCTGCTATTTTTTAAATGATGCAAAATGCCGTTTGAACATTATTTTTTTAAGATTTCGACACTAAGTGTCATCCAAGCCGTGCGAGCGAATGCAAATGTCAACTGCTACTGTTTTGCATACATGTAGTTCAGGAATTTCTTGCAAGAATCAAATGCTGAGTAGAGTTTGTTGTTTTTTGGAGTAGATAGACTTTTTTGATGTGAGAGAAGTTAGAAGATGCTCAAAACTTGTACATTAGGTTGTAGATTCTCACAGCAATTGAGTATCGAGAGTAGAGAGCAAATTACTCGAAACAAAATCTTTTTAATCAATTATAAACAGAGAGGCCGCTCTGGTTTGATAAGTCTAGTAGGAATCGAGAAGCGTGACTCGATTCTCGATTCTCGTGAGGAATGAGAATCGAGTGTCAACTTACTTTTGAATGGTACTGTATTAACATTTACTGGCAGGAAGGTGTCATAAGTGTTTGAATAAAAAATAGAATGCACAATGACGTCAATTTACTAGTATGAGCAGAATCCTTTTCGTTTTGCCTTTCATATTTAAATTTGGTAATCCCAGCGAACTTTGAATGACAAAAGCCCTAATTTTCGCTCAAGAAAGCAAAACCCTAAAGGATTCTGGTCTCAGTAGTCATCATGCAAATAACCTATTGAAACTGGTCTTGCTCTTGCTAGAATAATTGGTAGGACCCTGGTAACTCAAACTTGGATAAGTCGAACCCTCTGCTAAGTTACATGTACAGTGCATACCAGAACTAAGCGAACAATGGAGATGCGAAACTGATGCAGTGGATGCGTCAGCTTGGACAAAAGTACATGTCATCGCTGATGAGCATCTGCATCAGCTCAGGGGCACCAGGAAGGAAAAGATTCTTCTTCTGTTATTCCCTGTGACAGCTTTGCTCTTTAAGGCATTGTTGTAAAAAATCAAAGCAAATTCTTGGGTGTTAAGAAGCTCGATAGTTGTTCATTCTAAGGAACTTTTCATGCGGGATTCTGACCGTGATTGATCGAATTGAATTGGGCAACTTGCAAGGTTGTGTTTGCAAAATCGCTCAGCATCGTACTTTTATATGTAACTGTAATTCTAGGTTTGTACCCTGAAGAAATACCAGCCGTTTTTTGATGAACTGAAAGCCTGTGCCTGCATTTTAACAATGACAAAATCGGCACAAAATGAGATAAATTTGCAGGGGAGAATCAAAAAGTCACATGCTTGGCTTGTTCATCGATGTTCATCCAATGTTCATCTGAAACCAGCAACTCAAACTGATGATCATGCACAGAACTGATGCAATGAAACAGAAAATATTCTATGTTTGTCTCCTTAAACAAACAAAATCAACTTCTGTAATTTATGTTTCAGGTTTAGACTGTTTAAATTCATTTCTGAAGTAACTGAATATGTTTTGAGCGTCTCTGAGATCTCTGAGACTGTATGAGCAGTTAAAATCAAATGCAAATCTTATCTCCATTGTAATCAAAATTTATGTGCATCAGGTTTTTACACTTTTAAGTGTATTTTGTTAGGATACTGCAGGGAAGTGTCTTGACGCCAAATGACAGTTTTACAGTTCATTTGCGCGGTGTGTTATAAGAAAAATTTTAGCCTGTACCGATCCATCAGTTTGATTCTTGTAGGCTTTTTAACAACTGTACACATTACGTGTCTATTAACAAGGAGATAGCTCATACATACTAATGAGTCTTGATGTGCACTGACCTAGTTCAGAGAAGACATGAATGCTTGTCAGCTCACCTGATGCGTGGACACATCCAGCCTGACGCAATCGACTTGTATTTCCCGATGCTTATTATGCGTACCGGTATATCAATAATTTACATGGAAAATTGAATATTTACTTGAATAATTTGAACCCCAACTAACCCAAACTGTTTTTCACCTCCCTTTCGACTTTGAGTTGCCAAGGTTCAATATTCACAGATGGCATGGGGGCTCACCCTGTACAAAATGTGTCCTGACTACGATTGTTATAGCAAGGAGCCCAAAAGTGTGATGTCCTTTAATTAACTGACATTCTTCCGTTCAGACGTTGACCAATCAGAAGTCGAGGACAGTTTCCAGTTGGCTTCTGATTGGATTAAATCTACACAAAAGAATGTGAATAAATCAAAAACGGTCGAACTTTTGTCCTCCTTGCTGTGAGTGGTTGTTGGTGACTGGAGAATTGGATGGGAAATCTAGCAGTTTGTTAGAAGTCATTTGGGATTGTTTCACAATCATTCGCCCCTTCTGTTTTAAGTGGAACTGAGTTTGAATTTTTTTGTTGACTTGGGAAAATTTTCATTAATTTTTTCAGCAATAATTGTTACAGACCGTGAGACTCGAAAAAGTCGCGGCTTTGGCTATGTGACCTTTACAAATGAAGTTGATGCTAAAGAGGCAATGTCGTCAATGGCAGGAGAGCGCGGCAAGGTACCTGTAATTGACCATGTACAATTACAATAGTAAATTATTAGCGAAATGGTGATAGGGTTGTCACTTGTTGTTATACTTTTGCTGCACGGTAGGAATACATTGTAGTCAAGTCATGTACATGTAGCAGTACAATAATCATTTACATGTACATGTACCTTGGAATTCCGGTTTGTGCTTTAGTAGAGCTTGGTGGTCCCTGGTGAATACTTTTGCCTTTGGGTGAGCAAGTAATATGTTAACACGAAACGTTTGTGCTGGGCACCCCCTTGTAGAGGAAGTAAATTCTCCTTTGAGAGCACAACCTTAGAATTAAAATGATAACAATTTGAAATCTTTTAAAAAATGTTGTTGATGGCAGAAGAAAAGACAGCATTCCTTGGAAATTTGAATAAGAGCAAACAAATAAAGCAAAGAAGTTGACTTTCTTCAAAAGATTTATTACCAGGAGCCATTTTGAAGAAAATGTGAAAGTTTGAATGACTGGTTTAACTGACACAAAAAAATTTGGAAATAATTTCCAAACAATTATTGTTCAAGCCGTATTGACAAAAATGATTTTGTCAATCATGTTGCAATGATTTTGCCAAGATTATACTTTGTTTTACACGGCAGTACACTTTAGAGGTGACCTGAGAGAATGTTCTGCAGTATAATCAAGCATTTAAGAAACTGTAGATAAAAATCCTGTAAGCTGAAGTTTAGCCAAAAAATATCATTGTCTGCATGAGAACCACCCTCTTTTACACTAAAGTACCCCTTGGCCTGTTGCTGAAAATCAGGAGTTTATATACATGTACAGTGTATGCAGGTTACAACTGTAGTTGTAACAGAATGATTTTTAGTTGTTTGATAATTGTGTGTTTGGGTAACAACGATAAGGTTTTACCTATGGTTTTTCCTTTGTCTCAAACTGTGTTGTGTCTCATTCTCAAGAAATTCTTTGATCATGAAATGACCCTGGAGTATGCAAAGGACAAGCCATCCAGTTCACCAAGAGGTGGAGGCAGAGGAGGACGAGGTGGTTTTAGAGGAGGCTTTTCAGACCGAGGGCGTGGCCCTCCCCGTGGGCCACCCTTCCGAGGACCTCCTCCTGGGCGTGGTCCTCCAAGCAGGTCTGGATACTATTGATTCACCTGTTTGTTTAATCAGGCAAATAAACTACAACTTGTATCATAATACTGTATACAGTACAAGGGTACTGCTTTTGGGTGTTACACCACCATCTGAGAAAACTGACAAGAAAATAGTCTAAGTCAGAAAATATCTTAAATTGAGTTGGCTTCATGAATACGTCCCTCTTTAATTAAGACTCTTTCAAAGGTCATACACTGTACCTAGTTGGCTGCTTAATAGAGGCTGACTCCTTAGCAGAACCATTCCAAAATCTATCATGTACAGCTGTAGTACAGCAAGAATCCTCTAAATAGAGGTGTGACATTGTTTTCCCAGATTGTGTGTGATTGTATTCTGGCTTCATGAACAACCTAGTACAGTGCACTGTGCATGTAGTTTACTTCCTTCTGATATACAGTTCTTCGGCACGAAAATGCACAATTACAGTTTTAACCATACTGCAATATTATTTGTCTCTGTATGAAGGTCTTGTGACTCTATTGACTTGTTGTATTATGTATCATTATTGTTACTTTTCAGGCCAAGAGATGGTCCCCCACCCCCTCGTGGCAGAGACATGCCTCCTCCAAGGGACATGCCACCTCCCAGGGATATGCCACCTCCCAGTCGAGGTCCACCTAGGGGCCCCCCTGTAGAGCCACGAAGAGGACCCCCACCCCCTGACAGGTGATCTGAAATTTTTTTACAGCAATATCTGTTGAGAAATTAAAAACAAATTACCTAGAACAATGCAAAAAGGTCATTCTTGCATTTTGGGATATTTATATGCACATGAAATGTGCCCTATGGAATGCAGGCCATGATTGATGATGACATTTCATGTCTTATTATAGCATACCTATCAGTATACATGTACATGAGTATTAATGTTTTTTTGTTGATATTATTGACCTTTTAAAGATTTTGACAGTAACTTTATTTGTCAGTTACAGTGTACAGTATTGTTTGCATTACCACACATGTTCAAAAAGGTTCACAACTGACAATTTATGTCATTACTGAGTCAAATCTTAATGTTACATGTATTCAAGTCCTGAACTTGTGCATGTAGTCTGCAAAACTGCAGTGTACATGTTTAGTGAGCAGATGTAATTTCATGTATGCAAAACACTGTTTGCTGTAAAGGATTGTTAAAACACATGGTAGAACTCAACAATATTGTTAACTACTGACCTTCTTTTCTTAGATATGATGATTATGGCCCTCCCCCTGAACGTGGCTACCCGTCACGAGATTATGATCGTGCAAGCTACAGTGATCGTGAAAGGGAACGACCACCAAGTTATGGAAATGATTATTATGGCAGCAGGTATACGCACACTCTTGTTGTTTCGTGAAGTGTTTTACATGTGCAGTTTGTAAGGATGTTTGCCTACAGAAAGGTGATAGTTTTTTAAATCAAGCTTCCTTAGAGAGTTCTTTATTGATTTTTATTCCTGTCCTAAAGTTCTCCTGGAGTGTCTGTAGCTATTGTGTGTGTGTGGTGTTGTTTCTCCAGGTATCCTCCCCCAGAGCGTGGTAGCGGTGGCAGTGCAGGAGGTAGTAGCTACTCCAGTAGTGACAGAGGGTATGGACCACCCATGGACAGATATGGAGGTTCAGATCGCTACAGCAGTTCTGATCGGGGATATTCTAGTGATCGAGGCTATGGTGACAGGTAACCAAACTTCTTCATTTTGTCACCAAGAGTGAATTCATATAAGCCGTTTCTTATATGCAAATGAGGCGCACAATATTGTTATGAGCCGCTTTTGTATTCACTGGTAATTTACCTTGGAATGTACGGCACTTTTCCAAAAGAAATGGGAGTTATCTGAACCAAAAATATTCTGTACGAGGCAAAAGTAGTACTTTTTAATATACTTGCCTTTTTCTGATTTTTGTGATCTTTTCAGTTACCGGCCACAGCCGGACAAAAATTGCGGCATCAGTTGTTTGACAATTTTCAGTTGGTGAGAAAAAATACAGCGGTTGAGGACGTGCTTTTCCCGGTATTTGAACATTTGTCCGGGAGAAACACGGGTGAAACTCAGGCATCCTGCGTAAAACCACATGATTCCAACTCTGTTTTAATTAAGAATTTGTAGCAGTGGTTTCTGTTTGGTGTGTGCCTTCTCCATTGTTCTTCTTATTAGCATTTAGCGATTTTTATTAGCTTATAAGAAATGAGTTATGCGAATTCACTCTAATAAGGGCCCGGCGGGGGCCAGGGATTTCCCCTGGTTACTGTTAGCATAACCCTGGCTACAGCTGTATATTCATTGGAAACAAAAGGAAAATACATGTAGAACCAAGAAAACTTGCTAGCTGTTCAAATCCCCACTTGCTACATGTAATTGCCCCAACCAGACAACTTGAAACCTAAGTGACTACTCTGCCATTAGGCTTCATTTTTATTTAAATTATTTCCATTGATGCTTGATGCTTCTTTGATGCCGGTACAAAATAGTTTCCTTTTCGGGTCGTGGATAATTTATGCCCAAAATTGCCGCTTCACTAATTCTCTGCGTCGCACAGGAAGCGAGACGCGACTGGTGATTTGCGTTTGAGCGGTACTCTAGCTCTTCTGGGAACTTATTTCTTGTAAACCTTTTCTGCTTTTTCTTTAAATGTAATATTAAAAATGTGTTCCAGATCAAATTCAAATTTTTTATTGTAAAAGTTGGTTTTTTGGGGGAAGAGAAAATCATGATACCCAGAGAAAAACCTCTTGTTTGTTTGTAAACAGATATGGTGGAGCCTCGGGAGGTGCATCTGATGATCGTTACGCCCCAGATCGAGGTAGCTATGGTAGTGACCGCCAGGAGAGAGGTGGATATGATTCAGGCAGCAGTGGTTATAGCAGCAGTGACCGGAGCTACGGGGGACCAGACCGTGGGTATGGTCCACCCCCTGATAGGTATGGCCCTCCACCGGACCGTGCTCGGCCTGCAGGATATGGAGCCCCTGCTGACAGGCCCTATTCATCTGGATCTTACTCAGGAGGTAGGAACTTATTTCGAATGTAAAGGCTGGTAGAGAGAAGTTCCATACATGTAAATTGCATGTGTACGAGTCGCCACTGAAGCATTCGTACAGTTTCATATGGCATTGTTTAGTGCTCGTCCGAAAATTGGTGCGTTGAAGATCAAATTTTTGGTGGTTTCATACCAATTTATCTCCGCTCTATCAACTCGATCGTCTTGAAACAATATCTTTCGTTTCGGAAGCTTGCTTAATAAATTGACTTTGAAATACGGTTCCTGTTCACCTGGTTAATAACTGATTGTTTGGAGGACAGTTATGGCAAGTAACGATTTAGATATACAAGTCTAGAAATGGTATCAAATCGGTCTTCCGAAAATTAGGCAAGACTCCTGCTGTGCAAAAGCGGAATTTATAATAAACCGATAATTACGGCTAGCAAGTTTGATCCAACACGAGAAAAAAGACGCTGACAATTACATCTACATAAAACACTCTAGCAGCTAAATATTTCGATGTCGTTGTGGCATTACGACAAATCGCCCTCGAGAAAAACCCATGTAAACGTTCTAGCAACACCTCATCTTGTCACAGTGATATGCATACACTTGCATTCAAACTCAACGAGCGTATGGTGAAGAAAAAATGTTGAAGTAATCGGTTCACTATAACTGGCTGCTGGTGTCATAAGTTGGAGGAAATTGATAACAAGAGTGTTGCTGGATTCCTTTTGGGGTTAGGGATGGGTGTTGTGATATTATTACATGTATTTTAGTGTTCTTTTCTTTCAGCAAAAAAGAATTCCGTTTCGACCTTGCCACCATCATCTTAACTTCGATTTGAGTTCTTGTTGTTTTCCAGTTTTCTAATTGTTCCTGCATTTCGTTTCAAGGCCGTGACTGGTGATCCGACGCAGAAATGTTCCGTACTTCGCCAAGGATTATTGCAGTTTTAACAAGTTCCTTTATTGCCGGAGTCATTATTTTTACCAGTAATTACTGTAACGTATATTTGCCAGAGCATGCCATAAGTCTGTCATCGCCCGATTCTTCCATGAACTGAGTCTGAGTTGTCTTAAAGCTGAATCGAAGCGATAGTCGATGCCCCTTCCACGAACATTGTCAATGGATTGTATTCGATCTGTTTGTTCGGCGGCAGTACAGCCTGTACATGTAGATTATCGAGTTCTAGAGCTTTGACAACAAGTTTGTGTTGTACATCCAAATGACAATTTCTGCCAGTTTGAAAGGCGACATTTTTAGAACTTTTTATTTGTTTTCGTAGTCACTTGCATGGCTCTTTTATTTTTAGTAACTGCTAATAAAGCGTTGTATATGTGCAAAAATGAACTTCAATTTTCGGTTATTCCAATAACTATCGTAAACCTCGAACTTCGGTTCGTTTGTCAGTGAAATAAGCACGTTTAGCTACGGATAAACTGGAAGCTGCTTTCCCGCGTGTTTAGGCGCCTCATTATCGGCTTTTGCGAATTTAGTCTGAATTGAGTTGATGTTAATTTGTTCGGATGTCAACATCGTGTATCTTCGTCACTTCGATTTTCGATTTGTCGAGTGTTCTGCTTCTCCGGTAGCTGTCACAGAATACAAATGTATCATACCTGACTCGTCTATATGTCCGTCGGTTTATTTCGTAGTAAGAAGCGGTTACTTACAGTCTTATCCGTAGCTAAAAATTTGTTATCCTTTTATCACGCGGGAACACGGCCGCGGAGAATGATGAGTATAACGTTCTCAAGATATTGACTGTTCATTTGATGATCTCTCTTTCCCTTTTCCGGTCACAGTTTTGTCGACTTTCCAAATCGCTCCCGCACTAAACCATGGGTTTACACTTGATCCCGTCAAACCCCGTTTGAACAAGGGTGGCGCAAGTCCAGAACTTTTACTGTATTCTATGTTTCGATGGTTGTAACCAGTAGTCTAGGTAAACTATCGTCCCTCGCTGCTAATGCGGAAATATTAAGTTAACAAATCGTAACGTTGTGAATGAAAAGGAATCGCCTCGAGGAGTCTATAGTTGTTTAAAGGCTGAATATAAGAAAGATTGAATCTAAAATGTCAGGAGGCAGAATTGATCTGATTGTTGCCTTTACAGACCGAACCAAATTAAAGAGAAAAATTTTAAATAACTTCCTATCCCTTGCCTTACAATTTGACGTTGTCTCATTTCATTTCGCCTCTTAAGTTTCACCACTATGCGTAAATCGTTAACCCGCCGCAGTATAATCGTTAAACGTAAAAGTAACAGCGTCATAAAATAAAACATGAGATGTAAAGGTAGTGTGCGATACAAGAGATCAACTCCTCGATAAACCGCGCTAACTCTTCCTATACCTGTGCGATTTCGGTCATCGGAGACCAATGACCACTTATGAGTGCGCGAAACCCCGCGCACTTTTCGCGCAAAGAGCGGCTACAGATTTGTACTTTAACTTCGATCGAGCATTGTCTTGGAGGTTTATGTGATTCTTGTTACATTAATACACAAACAACTGCCCCGATTGCGCATCTCTGATTACTTGTCCCGAAACCGTTGATACTTTCAGTATAAACGCCATCACATAAACGTCAATTCGAGGACGGTTTCCTAGCAAATCATGCACTGCAAAATCTATATGAGATTTTCGCTTGGTTTCTCGGAAGCTATCCGCGAATTGAATGCTTTTGTTATGTAAGAATACTAATTACAAGTGATGGAAGACTCACTTCAAGCAATATCATTCTGACAGAGCTCTTTTCCGGGAGATCATCGTTTTATCGTGAAAATTGTGGCTAAACCAGTCTCTGACTACGTGCGTCAGTCTTTTTACCGTTACAAACCAATTTACTTTAGGCACCCTCATTATACTATATAACGACATTGCTCTTTCAGTCTTGACAACCGAAAATATTTAATCCTAGTTTTGTTGATTTCTCAGCGGCGTTTGATACTGTGGCGCATAATTTAGTGTTAAAGATTTGTCGACGTGTTTTGAATCCATTCACACCGAGAATGCTGTCTCGCATGGGGACTTTGTTTCCCGTGACATGACAGGTACAGTATCGTGTCCTTAACAGCGGCGTACCCAACGACTTCTCCGGACGATCTCTGTTGGTTGGAAAGTAGTTTTCGTACACTGATCAGTCACGGGTTCCATGTTTGTGTTTGTTAGTGGTCGGTCTCGGGTCCTTTTCATGGAGGCAAAGAGAAAATACATTATGTGTAGCCTGTGAGATTTTTCAGGATGGAACCTCATGTTCAGGGTGCAGAGGAGTTAAGTTTATATTTACTATATTTACCTCTTATTTATTTACCTCTTTAAATTAAATATGCGTTCAATTTACGAAAACAGTCCGCTGTCTCCAATCCCAGTATACTTGTTTGTGACAACTGTGCCCTCTGAAAAGCACTGACCGCTTAACAATGTAACCATGGAGCCATGGATTGCTTCGTGCTCCTTGCCTCGTACTTCGTGGCTATCAAGGAATGAGACTGAAATCAAGGTCAAACGTAACTTTTCTGCTCCATGGTGCTACCATTTCAAAATAAATAAATTTGTTTCTTACTTAGTAATTTCACAAAGTGAAATTGGAGACTTTTATTGAAGCTTGCTTCTGATCACTCAAAGGAGAAAGTTGTTCTGGAAGGAAAAGGGCTGGGTTGGTGAAACCCAGCGAGTATGGTTTACGTTGGATAGAGTTCGCCTTTATTCTCGAGATCAAAGTCCCGCAAGTTGTTGGCGGCACATTTGAGACTCGCTTGAGACTCGCGAGTTGGTGAGTGTCTGGAAGGCAAAAAAGGCTGGGTTGGTGAAACCCAGGAATTATAGTTAACGTTGGAAAGATTTCGCCTTTATTCTCGAGATCAGAGTCCCGCAAGTTGTCGACGACACATTTGACTCACTCGCGTTGTTGGTTGAGTTGGTTAGTGACAGGTGACCCTGACGTAAAATACGAAGTGCATCAATACGAATGAGCCTGGATTTCTTCATTGTTGGCTTCATCACCGTAAATGACCTACTAAACACCGAGGGTGTCTATTTAATTTTAGGAGTGTTAAATAGTTAAAAGGCGTTTAAAAGAGAGAGGCGTTTATTCTCGTGACTTTAACAAGCTCAACAAAACTAATATGCTTTCGGTAAAAAGAGAGTTTGAAAATAGCGGAATATTCACTCCATCTATTGATACGTGAGTGAGTGTCTCGAAGGGAAAAAAGGCTGGGTTGGTGATGGTACCCGCCGCCAGGTTAACTTAATGGGATTAGCGCCGGTCTGCTGAGCGGGAGGCCGTAGGTTCGAACCCTGGCCGGACCAACACTCAGGGTCTTTAAATAACTGAGGAGAAAGTGGTGCCTTTGTAATAACATCTGCAAACGGTTAGACTTTCTTGTCCTCTCGGATAAGGACGATAAACCGTAGGCCCCGTCACACAAGCCCTTGCACATGTAATAATTAAATCTGTGGGACGTTAAAGAACCCACACACTCTTCGTAAAGAGTAGGGCACGTAGTGCCCGGTGTAGTGGTCTATCTCACTTTCACAGTCCTGTATGGGGGCATCATTAAACATTCCTTCATTACTTGTAAACTGCACCTTAAGCAGTCGGGCAAAGTCCCCCAACCAGTTTTATAAATTATCCCTGAAAAGCCCTGAAGGGAGTGGATAATAATTTACAGTCTAGGCCGTCTAGAGATCCATATCGTCCCTTCAGATCCTAACATCGATGTCAGTATCCTCATTCAGGGTCATTGTGTTGCCATCATTAGTCTCTCCTTACTTTGAACAAGATAAAATACACAGAGCCTCGTTAATAAGGCAAGAAACTGAATGAATCGAATGATTTTGCTCTCTTTTGCTAATTCCCGGTATTTTGGAGTAATGCTCATGGGGGGCGTTTATTAGAGAGGGGCGTCTAATATAATTTAAACAGAGTAGAGGGGTGTTTAGTAGATAAGAGGCGTTTATATAGAAGTGGGTGTCTATTAGGTCATTTACAGTATATCTAGTGTACATTGTGATCTGTAAGTATTAAATGAAGTTTGGAGTATGTTAGTTCATATCAAACTTTGGGAACCGGCCGAACTAGCACATAAATGCCGGAGGACACCAGTGTAAACGTGGACTTTTTCCCTCGAGTCACAAGCAAGCGAGTGCTTCAAAACTATTCGAGCGTCGCTCAGGTGAATCGCCAAGGTCTGTATGTATAACGTAGACAAAATTGGGAGGAGGCGACGAACGCTGTCTGGGAAAAGAAGAGGGGCCTGGGTGGCGAATCGCTAGTTTTATTTTTCGCTTAATTGTCGAATGCGAGTGGCCGAGACGTTTGTGACAAAATGCCACTTTCGCGGTCGTACCTTGAAGGAAGTTATGGCGGGAAGTAAAATTTGAAGGTGCTGGAACCTAGGCCTCGTTCACGCTTTCCTCTTTTGGAAACTAGTAATATTCTCCTGATTTGTCTTCCGTCCACACGTGTCATTCGAGTAACCGAAAACGCGACAACCTCTCAAAACCGCTCTCTAGATTGGACACTTGAAAACGTCATTTTCCTGTCCTTAACGGTGATCTTGGAAAACATGAAATGTTGGTATTTATTTTCGTGCAGGATAGCAATATCTGCAATGTTTAAGCTGACTATTTCCGATGGAGGGTTGTCACAATAATGAGGCCTTCCTTTAACACCCCAACCTCGCCATATGATAAAACCATATGGAACTTCCGAAGGTAGGGTAACCTTAATACAAATCCAGCAGGGTATCCCTGGTCCTCTTTAAGAGGTTCACTTTTTTTACAGAACACTTGATCAGGAGTACATGTAGTAAGGCCTAACAGGCGAGTAACACGGAAGAACTCGGATGTTGTGGGTTAGACTGCGGGGACCGCGGAGAGGGTGGGGAGCCCGTCACTTTTTGAGATGTTAGGAGAAAAAGAGTTTTAACATCTGTCTTAAGCCTTTCAACCTTTTTCTGATTTTTTACTCCCTTTATTTGACACTTAACAGCCCTCACAATTTGGGCCATTATTGCTGAAACGATGTCGGTTAGATTTCAGATTTTCTACGTTAAAATATTGGTGTTCACATCTTCTGCATCAAAGGGAGAGATTGTTGAGAAAACTTCTTTTAAAAATTTACGTAGCCCTGTGTTTTAGGTCTAAGCGAACAATTACTGAAGCTGAGTCAGAAGATCAAACAAGCGAGCTTGACTCGTCCCCAGCCATCTTTCAACCTCAAGAGAAGCGCGGCTCCCTTCGGTCACGCTTCTCCCGTTTCGCCCCCAGCCTGTTGGAAGTTATTTAACCGCCAGGGCCTTGGCTTACTCTATCCTGTCTAAATATTTTGAGACTGGAAGAAGTTTATCTTTCTAGCTTCAAGGAGCGCAAGCTTAGTTTCCGACTAATTTCTCAAGCCTTATCGGCAACATAATAAATTAGTGCATTGCTATTATTAAAGTCTAATAGTTTTGTCTTGTTTCGTATACATTTTTCGCCATTTCGTGGGAGTACCAGCCCGGCCCGGCCTCCCCTTTCCTTCCCCTCTCAGCCCTGTTCTGCGGTCCTTGGACAAGACGTAAAAAAGCTTGGCGGTGGAAGTCACTGTCCGCTTACACAGAGGAACTGGGGAGAATTTGATTCAAGGCCAACTCGGATTTTAAAAAAACATCCGTCTTCAACTAGAAACATAATGAGATATGTGTGGACCGACAAAAACAATGAATGCATCGTTTGAATGAGAAGTTTGTGAAAACGGATTTGTTTGGACCGGGCCTTAAGAGCTTCAAATGATTTCTGTTGTTGGCATCGTCACCTCTTTTTCAGTGAGGTTCCACTGTGAGAATTAAGAAAATTGTCAAAGTGTCGGAATTTTGAGAACAGCTGTTTAAAAACAAGGCTCTTGTTTCAGGTAATTTATCGTTGCGTAAAAATAATAGTTTAAGTCCATCAGAAAGTCTTGTTAAAGCAGGGAGGAAAGGCGGCTTCAGGTTGACGTCAGTGACGTACTTTATTGGTACTCAATTTCGCGTTGTTCGCGATTGTAAAGAGCTCGCGAAATCAAAGACCCGTGAATTTAAATGTTGTAGAAAATTCATAACACAAAAAAGATTTATTAACCTGTAATAGCAACAACATATACAGGACAAGTGTGGACAAATACACAAATTGTGAACTGGTTTTACTGCAACGTTTCCTTTTGTATCTTCAGTAATTTTTGTGAAAAAACGTCAATTTGACACATTGCTTGTTCCGGTTTATCAAGAAATTTTTAATGAGTTCAGACTAAAATGAAGTCGAGATCGCGAAATATAGTGTCCTTTTTTCATATTTGGCTGTTGAAATCGCGAAAACAAAACCCCGCCAAATATTGTCTCACAAAAATCGTGAAATGAAATACAAGAAGTGCAAGAAATAAGGATGAAAAAAAGGGAAAAGAGGAGTATCACCCCCTTTACGGCGTTTGAGGTCTAGCGGACGTTCCTTGCTCATTACTGGAACATTCTGTCCGGTTGTATACACTTATCAAGGCTTTGACCAGATGACTTCTCCTACATCCAGACACCGAGACGGAAATTCGGTTTATCCGAGTGTTTTTAGGCGATATCAGTTTTAAAGCGATTTTGAGGTGTTTTGGATATTGGATGATGAAACGCTCGTCCCGGTGTTTGGCATAGCTTCGTGACCGAATATTAAATAACGAATACTGAGTTCGCAACCTCCAAGTAACAGATAGAGCCCGGATGTATGCCTCTCCCCGGCGCACCCAATCATTGATCAAGAAGCAAAAACACTCTGACCGATCACGTAACTATGCTTTAGAACCGAAGCATGGCCCCGCAAAGCGTCTGTTTAGATCAGACGAGTGAACGTTATGGAGTAATAACCGCCTCGTTACTTACTTCCCTAGGCTAAACTTAGACTGGAAGCCCAGTCCCACTTTGAGCAGAGAAGTGTTTCTGTTCAAGTTGTTCCTGTTTGTTCGGCCAGTATTGTCGTGCTCAAATTTTAGCACGGTTTCTTCCTGTGCTAGTGTTTATCTCTAAGTTCGACTTTGTTTCTAAAGAAAGGGAAATTAAAATGTTTGATAGCAGGTTATGTTTGTCTAGAAGCGTTAACAACAATTGGGAAGTAAAAGAGACATCAACTCCTTCTCATTTGGCTCAGTAGTGCACCTGCTGCTGCTGATCCAAAGAAACAAAGTTATGGAAGGTCTGACTGCTGACAGCCATTGCAAACACGAACTCACACTCGTCTCGAGGTGACACTCTACAAGACCTTCTCCCGTCGCTGGAGTCATAACTAAACTAAAACAATAGGATTTATCACAATACGTACGCAGTACAAGCACACGCAATTTGTAGATAAAATATTTTTAATGGATGTGCTCCTTATATATTAAATTAAAAGAGTATTGTGTCAATTGGATCCTGATTGAACTTGTATAGAAATTTTTTTCCCGTAAAACAACGCTTTCTTGAGTCAAGAGTTGTCCAGAAGTTTGTCATTTTCTTTCGCCAGTCCATTTTACGTCGTCCTCATATATTTGCATTGAAACTGGGATATGAGTCACAAAAATGTGGTCAGTCTTCGTTTACCGAAGAACCGCCAAGATTCAGTATAATTGACCGTCATTCGGTGGTCCCTCAACTTTGCTATTCATTTTCGAATACCTGTTATTTGAATAACGTCGTTGTTTAGTTCAAAATTGTCTGCTGTACATCATTAGTTAATAATTAAGCAGCTGGGGCAGCTGAACAGCTGGGCTTTACAATTCCAAACGTTAAGAGCCTGTAATCTATACGCGGTTGCCTAGGAAACTGCCAGTAATGGTACCCTAATAAGACTCGAAGTAGGCGCCAATAGACACATTTATGAGATATGACTCGCTCAGTGACCCCAAGGAATCGTTATACTCAAGCTCAGTGAAAGAACTTACTAAGTAATCCAATCGATAGCGACACTAATTGGATTTTGCGAGATAACTGACAAACTGTGTCAAGTGCTCTTCTTACGGACACCTCTCTGCTACACACGGAAGACCTTTTATACAGCTCCTGCCTTTGTAATAGGGCAATTTAAGCAAGCAAGACGGCGACAGAAACGGCCGGACGTCATTTTTAAAGCGCATTCGCGCTCTTTCAAAATTTATGGTGGTTATTTCGACTGGCTCAATTCGTCAATTGAAGGCGCGTTTTCCTGGAGTTCAATTTTTAGAGAGCACATCAAAGTTTTAAAATAGAATGTAAAAGTTGTCGTTGAGTGTCTACGTCCTCTATAATACATAGTTGCAACGGTTCACGTTGTAGTTATGCAGTGAGGGTGAGTCGCCCTCTTCGTTGCTTGAACTTCCTAAAACAAAGACATCTGTATCATATACTTGTTATTTCTCCCTTGAGCTGTATTTCTATTCTTTTCTCACTTTTTTTTTTCTATTTTCGTAACTTTCTTTGCGCTGGAAACTGAAAATGTTTATTAGAGATTTTCGACACCTGACCGCTCTCCTATACAGGGCCACTGTAAGTCGTAGAAATGTTTTTGAATGATGAGTGAATCACCTACGAACAAGCAGTTCTATACCTTAAATACATTGACTGTGAATTCATTACGAATTTAGAGACGATTTTGTCGTAGTCACCCGCTCCCCCCTCAAGGAAAAAATACATTAGTTTGTCCACTTGTCAAGAATCTCGTAAGATATTAAATGATATATTTTCACATTTTGTTAAAAGTGGGTATATCTCTACTGTAAGCCAAGCGTTTGGAAGATACTGAGCCATTCGTCAGTTCCGTACTCAGCAGTTTGATCAGTGATTTTATTCGTGACAAAATTGCAGTACATAAAGGCTTAATATGAACAAGTCATTGCTACGTCTTACGACATGTCGGCCTCAGATACTTTCTCTTGTTAACCTGAGTATCAATATCAGTTTAACCAGTCTAAAGTGACCGCATTTTGTCCGCCGTTTTTTTTTTTCATAGTCTTATTGGTTTGCTCTTCCCATTGGTGTAGATGAGGGAGCAGGGCCAGACCCGTGTCCCGTGCAATGCTTCTATTACGGTGCAGCAAGCAAGTGAATTCTCCTAAAGAAACTATTCTTACTTGCTTTTTTTTAAAATGTAGCAACAAAAGGAGAAGGCCATTTTAGTGATAAAAGGTGTAGTCTTTCTCTGCATAACCAAAGGCGCCTTGCCCGTGCCGAACATTGAACGATATTTTGGGGTTTGGTTCATGAAATTTTGTCTTTGTGCATTATAACGCTAAGATCTTTAAACAACACTGTTAGCTTTATCATGATTATTCGTTTTAAAATTTAAAACCTGGTCCTTGGATCCCCAACGTGTTAATTACTCTTGCGGTGTCATTTTTAGTATTTTTTCCGAGGCAGGGAAGCATTCGAAGTGTTACATACTTGTAGCCTTTATCTTTATTACTATGTCATACGCCCCTGACTTATTTTGTCGTGAAATTCCTGATCGTCAAATAAAGCAGAGTACCCGCTTGAAATATCATTCACATGACTCGAGTTTACAACCAAGTATAATCATATTAAACGCATGAAATCGAGAGACTTGACATTACTGTTCAACAATTTTGCACATTTTGTACTCAGTTTATGTGAAACATGTAAAAAAAATGGGAAAGCCTGTTTAGCCGAGGTTTTGCGCAATATCAAGTTTGTAGAATATTTTTCTTTTTTACATCGTGCAAGTTGAATCAAGCAGAATTGAACAATGTCTTTCCTATTCTTTTTCCAAATATTTTCTGTTTGTGGATTGCTATTCTAAAATATCCATCCAGCAAAGACATCCTAAAAAATGTAACGTATTAAAATTTTGTAATTGAGAAAACCAATTTGCGAGTCACTTAAATAGCATGTGCAGCCGTGGCTGAAATATGTTAATCCCTTGCGCCACGTATTTTATTGAGTTAAAGATATTGCTTTAAAATTACTTTAGTTTGTGACGAGAGAGGAGCTTCTTTTCTCGGTTACAAGATTAGTTTTGCTTGCGTGGGAACTTTCCATTGGTATTGTTTTACAAATGTAGTGTGTTTGCAAAGACTTTTGTTTCGAGCGGGTGTGTAAAACAATGCCAGGGAACAAAACACACTTTTCACACAAAGACAAACACGTGCTCCAGAATATGGCCTTGTAATGTTTTATTTACATTTTGCTTTATACCGACAACAATGGTCCCGTTGAAGAATCATGTATCACGGCGCTTCGAAGCAGTAGATCATTCCAAAAGTCGATTGTTTATTTTTTACAGCCAATTAGCTCAAGTCGTTCTCACGACCCCGGGCTTAAGCTCTTCCGAGTACCCCTTACGTCAAAGTAAAGTAAAATAAAAAGTGGTTAAAATGATCCTAATAATATCGACTTCATACGCTATGGCTTGGTGAAAAGTATCACTAATTTGTCAAGTAGACTTCAAGTCTCGGGCGTTAAATGGCGTTAATGTGATATAATTGTCATGAAATATTGCTTTGATTGCACGAGAGTACCGTTTTTTCTTTTCTTGGCGCGAGTAGAGGTGAATGCGCGAGTCTTCTGTTTTAACCTTATTAGCATAGCGCGTGCAGGGAACGCTTTGTTTTTGAGTGCCGAGTGACCAATCACATTGCTTCGTTCTCACGCTATCAGTCTCAGCTGCCAGTGAAAGCCAAAATACCATTCATCTGACAAAAATGCAGGCTCTTTAAAAACAAAATACGATGTTAATAAGCTGGGTTTGGGAACTCGGAGCAAGAGATTTTCCCACGGCTGGGAAAGTAAATAAAAACGCTGTGCTCAACCCAACTCGCGTTCATTTGTCACTTTCTTCGGTAGTAGAAGGATAGGGCCGACATTGTTCCCTAATTTTTTGTTTCTAAAATTAAGACGATCAAACCAAATACCCATGGTTCAGGAATCTTCCAAGTTGGAGAAAGAGAATGATTCGGAAAGTCGAAAGGTAAAATCTCTCTTCTCCCATTTGTAAAAGTATTTGCAATCTTCGATCCCTTGAACCAGACTTTCAAAAATTTTAACTTGAAAAAAAATGTATTTTTTTTAATACTTTGTGGTTAAACAATATTATTTAATGAAAGTTATCTTAGTATCTTGGAAAGAGCGTGCTGATCATAATGTCGACTGCTCAACTTATGAGCTGTTCTGTTTCGAATGTCATTTAATTGAGATGAATTAATATCCCGGCCATCTTTCTTGTTTTTTTTTTCTGTAGTGGTCTAAGCCAATTATGGAGAAAAGAAGGCGTGAGCGAATCAACCGAAGCCTTGAAGAACTTAAAAGACTTGTTCTAGAAGCGCAGAACAGAGATGTAAGTCTGCTGTGTCAGCAGCAAAACATTGATACATGTTCAATACAGTTGACATCCGTATTTTTTAATTTAAAACTTTTTGTTTTGTCCAGATACAAGTTTATGAACTCGTTAAAGTTACTCGTTCTATCCAACTTTATGCATGAATGGGTCTGCTTTGATCTTTGTCTTGTCTGTGAATGAAACGGGTTTATTTTCACGGATGCCTAGTATAGGTGTCGCGAATTTCTCTCTAATCGAGAAAGTTTGAACAGTTTTTAATGTCACATCTGTCTCGTTGCGAAAGCCGATCGTGACATACTGCCGCGAATCACTGATTCGATTAGACATTTTACAGTTTTTGCAATATGGTCTTGTGATTATATCTCTTTCCCACGTCAGTGTTAAATACTACTTCAGCCACTTTCGTGTGAATGTTCACAATTTTGAATTTCTTTTGCCCATGGTTTGTCAGTTAACCATAGCTAGTTAACTGCATTGGTTACGTGACTGTTATGTTTGTCTCCACTACGGGAAGTATTAACGTTCCTTATTGTAATCGCATTTGTAGAGTTCAAGATACACAAAGCTTGAAAAGGCCGATATCTTAGAAATGACAGTTCGCCATCTACGTAGCTTGAGGCATCACCAGCGAGGTAAGACATAAGTACCAATAACTTTATAATGATGACTTAATGAATCAGTCTGAATCTTGAGGTGGTATATTTAATTTAATTACTTAACCGCGAGAAGGGAATAAAAAGGCAGGTTCTTTTACTTTGTGGCGGATCTCCGGTATTGGCAGGTGCTTGGCGGGCGGAACATCTGCGGCAAAAGCTTTCTTTAATTCTCTAATCAACGGACTATTAGCGTTGAACCTGCAAAAAAGAGAAACTTACCGCTTAATTACGTTAATAGCTTGGGGCGGCATTTGCACCGCCCTGGCCACGCTTGGTCATGAAAGAAGAAAAAAGTTCTTAGAGAATACTAGTGGCAAGAACAAGATGTGATGAAAAAAATATTGAGGCATTTGTAATGTTCAAGTATCTTTTGTAGCGTATTCAGTGTGCATTAGTAGAATGAGATCTTCAATTGGCTGCTTAATTTGATTCCCTTTAGGCAATTTGTAATTTTTTCTTATCGAAATTGTTCAATAAATCTATAACCGCTTGTTTGCAAAACTTTTCACTCCATTATCGATTGTTGTGATTAAATTCACTTCCGCTTCTTATGTCTAAAAGTAGATTTGCAGGGGGGCAGTCTTTTGGGCTTAAAATTCTAAGAAATTGCAATGTTAAACGAAGTTTTCACGTTTCAAACCTATTGTCTTGTGGATAACGTTATCGTTAATCGGCAAAAATAACCAGCAACGGGAACAGAATGAGATGATATAAATGTCTCAATAGTTTCGATTAACAAGAAAAAAGTTCTTTGAAAGTTTGCTTTTTCTATTAAAAGGAAAAACAAATTAATTGCAAAAACATGAACTAAATTTAGTGAACTTTATTTCAAAATCAGTTTCCCTTCTTGTTCTTGGTAAATTGGATTTATTCTTTTTTCTGCACTTAGCCTTTTAGTATGACAACTTAAGGGAACCGTTGAGCCACACGTGTGAAGTTTTTTATACATAAGTATTTAATATTTGGTTGAAAGAAACTGTGTCACGAAAATTAGCCAAATTCAGTAACTGGCAACCAAGCGAAATATAAAATCATAAATCATATAAAAGCTAAAATCATTTAAGGATGTTGTACATAACTCAGCAGATACAAAAAAAAAAGACACGGTTGGGAAAAATTAAAGAAGATAAAACGGATTGCCGTTGAGTTTTTCGAAAACTGGTTTTCAAAGTTCATCCTTGCTGTTTGTAATTTATAATATAACCCTCGAAAGACATGATTGTTACGAAGCTTTGATTTTGTAATTTACAAGTAATTTCATTGTAAGCCTACGTTAAATTCCCGGCCAGCTAATGAAAAAGTGATGGACAATACCAAACAAAGTAGACTGCGTTAAGCCAATTAATCTACGATAACGGCCGTTTAATGAACTCTTTCAGTTTCACTAGTCACAGTAGAATAAGAACGAGTTAGTGGGGAATTATGTTGGCTTGAGCTTTCTCCGAAAATTAACTGTTGTTGCTCTTTTTTTTCACACAGTGTTGGCTTCGTCAGACCCGCACTTACTGCTGAAGTATCGCGCGGGATTCAGCGCTTGTGTAGCGGAAGTGTCAGAGAGTGTGGTCAGAGACGATCGTTTGGCACCTGACCTAAAGGTGCAAATCTTGTCTCAGCTTGCCAGCTGCCCCAGCTCACCAAGAGTAACAAACGATATTCCGATACATCCATCGCTGACAGGAATCCCAGCATCTATCAAGTTCGAGGCCTCTGGGGATCTCGCTGTGAAAGAACCACGACAGATATTCCTTAGAGAGCCCCTAGAATCCGGCTCTTCGTCAACTCGGGCCACTATCTCGCCATATGTGGTTCAAAGACACCGGATACTTCCTTCGACTGGGACCATTCCAATGCAATATCTGCCGGTATTAAGCACCGATTCTGGGAGCTCCACAGGGGTACACCGTGCTTTGGTCCCAAGTAGGACTTCATCGGGTTTACACCTAACGGACCCCCTCTGGCGACCGTGGTGATAAGTATGGCAGAGGTATTGGATAACTTTTGCCGGGGCAACAGAGTATTAGTAGGACAAGATTTTGTTCAAATTGTTTAATGTTACTTCCAACACTTGTAAAATAAGTTTAAATAGATTGTTTTAATACTAATATTATATATTTGCTGGAGACTTTGATTTTAAAATAAAGAACTTTAAGATTATCGGAGTCATTTTGTTTGCCCGCCCTTACCTCCGCCGCCGTAGCCTGGGACCAGGCTCCGCAGTAGGGAAAGGGCAAAAAGCGAGGAACGGGAAAAAAAATGGGCGAGCGAAGCGAGCCCAGTGGTGGTCTGGGGAGGGGAAAAGGGCGGCCGAGCGACATGCCTTTGATGTCGGCGTTCCATGATACCAGATTCTGGTATCATGCTCTGATTGGTCAAATGGCTTCATGTTGACTGGTTCGCGGCGCAGTTGACAGTATCGCGTTCTTTCAGTGTCACGCTCCTACCATTCGGAAAAAGATTTTGTTAAAACAAGGATTTCGAGCAAGCAAACAAATTTCTCTGGGTGACTTTTCGCTTATCGCTCGGCGCCAAGAAGAGCAAAAAATGTGCCTGTGATCAGTTGCAGAAAGAAAAACTAAGCATTCAAAATATCATATAACTCATACTGTGATAAGCTACCGTCACATTTCCAAAGCGATTGACCACAAAAGGCTCAACGGTATAATCTCGCTCCCTCCAAAAGCGTGATAAAACCCAAGAATCAGTGGATATAATATACAAAGAATACATGTTGCGTACAGCTAAGCCTTGTGTTTCGAGAACGCGTAAACCACAACTGTACGGAGCTACCCTGTGAGCAGTTGTTTCTCTCTTGCGTTTAGCGTTTAAGTCTTTCGCGCGCGTCGCTTGTCAGTCGCGTAGTTAACAAACCGAATACGCAACTCTAAGCGCGAACGACGTCGTAAACGCTAAAAGCCATGCATGCAAGAAAGAAACATCTGCTCGCAGACTAGTACAAAGATAACAGCGGTTGAGGAAAATCAGGGAAAATGATTATTACTGACTTTGAAACGATTTTGAATAGACAAATTACTTGCAAAACGGACAGCAAATTCAACGGCAGGAATACAGTCTAACTGAATAGTCTGTCGCATAAGATGCTGAACTTACACATTTTTCCACATTTCGTCTGGTACGTTTATTATAAGAAGCTATGTAAACGAGCATTATGACGCACACTGTGAACTTGGGGGATCTCCTTGCGAATCTATTTGGCTGTTCTTCACCGGTCGGACGCGGCGCATTTTCCTGTAAAATGTCCTTACTACTCTTCGCCGAAGCCGGTGTTACTCCAGTTGGCGGTCTCTTTGCTTGCACTCTTACTCGTCTCGAATTCAACTATTTTTTAGCAAAGGCGACATAATAAGCTCACGCTGGCATCCGTGGTGAGAACTTGACGTGATGACATTTCAGTGACAAGTTCATTGCTGGAGGGCGGATCGGCCGCATCAAAGGCATGTCTCCAGGCTCGGCCTCCCTTTCCTCTACCCCAGTCTACCGGTAGGCTCGCTTCGCTCGCCCAATTTTTTTTTCACGTTCCGCGCTTTTTGCCCTTTCCCCACTGCGGAACCTGGACGTAGGTTACCTTCCCCTTTACAAGTTGCTTTGCAAATAAGACTGACAACAGCACGAATTCCCCGCCTTTGTCGCCTTCACATCCAGTATTCTCATCAAGCTTGTATTCTTCAACATTATTATATAATAACAGCTTATTGTACATTGCGTTTAATTACAGCAAGGTGAAGTGTGTACGCTATTTACTAGAGAAGCGGCAGGGGTATTTTGCAGAACGTTGAATGCAGATCGCCGAATGACTCTGTTTAGTGATGAGGGTTAGGAAACTGAGTGAAGCTGGTTCCACTTAGGATCATTTAACTGGGAAAACAGACCTAACACTTCATTCACGATGTTTCCTAACCCTAATCACTAAACTTTAGAGTCATTCGGTGTTCTTCAGTTCGCCGAACGCCAAATGCAGAACGCTGAATGACTCAAAGGTTCGTGGTTAGGGTTAGGAAACTGAGTGAATCAGGTTATAGTTAGGGTCATTGTACCGGGAAAACTGACCTGAAACTTGGTTCACTCAGTAGTGCTAACATTTATCACCAACCTTCGGAGCTATTCGGTGTTCTGTAAAATACCCCTGCCGCTGGAGCTGGTGGCCTAGGAGGGCAGAGTATCAGTTGATTAGTGAAACAAGCCCGTCCCGGAGGCTGAATCTGTCGACTCTATGTTTACATGATTTCACTTTTGTACACTGTGTTGTAACAACTAAAAAAGATAACTCAGTTCCTTTTTCTCCCCGAAAGCTGTAGCCCCACGGGGCGCAGAGGAGTTGTGTTAAACCTACCGACGTTTTCTATCGATCGCGGCGGGATATTTCGGAGTCGGTCGCATGTCTATGTTGTGGTTCAATTTTATCCTTGGTTTAATTTTTCTTTTCTTTTGTTTTAAACTCATTATCATACATTACCATACCCAAAAACAAAAGAAAATAAAAATGAAACCAAAAATAAAACTGAACCACAACATCTACACACCTTAGGCAAAAGGCTGAAACCGGAAAAATCTCGGGAACTTATGATATGTTTGATCTTGATTCAAATTAACAGCGCAAATCGCCCTGGTTTTCTTTAGGATATGAATGAAAGTGACCTCATATGGAAGCGGTACTCGATTGTGTTACAATCTGCTGCTTCATGCAGTTTGCGGTAGCATGAAAGTAATTAAAATAATTCACCACTCTCATGACCGTTCCGGCGGCTACGTTTATATTGTGCAGTATTAAAACAAGGGTGATTTGCGCCAAGAATTAAACTGGAATCAAGTTTAGTTTAACTATAACTCCTCTCAGCCTCGTCCTATTCCCAAGCTAGCGACTTGTACAAAGTAACGCGACCTGACAGGACAAGGTATTAAGCATGCGCAGTAGTCTCCTCGCCGTTTCTTTCCCTTTTGATCAGTTCTTGATCTTCAGTAAGCTCGATGCTTGGAAACTGTTTCTCACGCTCTGCCTTGGACAAACGGATTCTCAATTCTCTGATTTCTTTGTCCTTCTACATAAAGAAAAAGTAATGAATTTGCGTTAAAGTAAAACGGTAAGTAGAAGAAGAAAGGCACAAACTTGAAAATAACTCGTAGTTACTTACAAAAATACTGCAAAAATGTCGGTTGGAAACAGCTGTTGGTTAACTCCTTGGTCCCCTTACCTATATGGTTAACTATCATTCTATCTATATCTCAAATCGCCGGTTCATAGGTTCTTAACGTAATATTCAGCAACGACCCTGGAAGTATCTAGTATGGTGACCGGAAGTAATTTTTTTCCCGCCACCTGTCAGTGCCTCACGAAAGGGCGGTCTTGCAATCTTCTTCGCGATTATTCCAACTCACTTTCCTTACCGAATGTATAGAGTGTTTTCACTCACGTGGTCAACGTCTATGCAAATTTATTGGAACAAAAGAAAGCGTTTGCATAAGAAAAGAGTTCAACTCCCACAGGACTGGTTTGGGACACCAACACGGCCTCCGTTTCATTGTTTTGGGACACCAATATGGCCGCCGTGACGTCATGTGAAAACACTCTATAGGCGAACTAGAAAGAAAAAAATTTTAGTCGTTGCTTTTTTACGCCCTCAACAAAACGTAGTGGTGCAGTGACCGCCAAAAAAGTACAAATATTGAGATGCAAGTGCAAAGTATTGCTAATTAGGCCAACTCGGCTCTGCCCGCACTACGCTTCCCGAATACGTAGGAAATCGTGGTGGACCGTACTGTGACGAACTGGAAGTTCAATATCCTGAAATCTGAAAACTCGTGCCCTTCGAGATCTTCAATTATTGATCTAGTGAAAAACATTTTTCTTAAACTTAGTTCATACTGCAATAAACTTGTTACTTAAGTTTTTTATCACTTGTAACTTGCGCTTTAAAATTATGCAGGTGTAACTTCATTTTGTCCCGTGTATTTTGCGTGTATCTTGAGTTCTTTGTTAGCCGTAACTTTTCTCTCAGGTTCGAACCCGGACCTTTCGTATCCTTATTTCTCTCCCTTAACACTACACTACCCGGCACCGACCCGCAAAGTTCCATAAACTAACAGCCTGTTTTTCTTAACTGATACATCAATAACAGGTGACCCCAGCCTTCTCCATAAATTTTATTCTCTCTCTCTCTCTCTCCAGCCCTCTCCATAAATTTTATCGTAAATTCGACTTTTGCTTCAACTTCTTTCTTTTGAAGACTATTCAAAAACGTGTTATTTCCCTTATTGTAACTTAATCACCAATCATCAATAATAAATCACAAAAAAAGAAAAAAAACGCTGAGGGTGCGTTCGATCGGGAAATCTGGATTTCAATTTTAAAATCCGGATTTCGGATTTGCAATCGAACGCGAAATTCGAAAACGGATTTCAACGCTGATATATCTGTTTTTTGGATTTTTACCGTTCCATTAAGAAATCCGAACAGCGGTCTTGTACGCGCACGCATAATTAGCAAAAATAAGACTGCTGTTCACGAGAACAGTTTTGCAAATCCTTTTTCGGATTTCCCAATCGAACGGTCAAAAAGGAAATCCATGAAATCCGGTTTGGATTTCTTAATTGAAATCTACCCTGAGGACGGATTTCTCGCCGGTGAAATTTGTTTTCGAATTTCGCGTTCGATTGCAAAATCCTAAATCTGGATTTCCCAATCGAACGCAACCTGATTAAAGACAGACTTAGCAACAATCGCTTGCAACTTGAAACGGGCAGACATACCGTACCGAAAACTCCAGGAAATCTTCGAATTTGCCCGTTTCAGCCACTTAAATGAAGTTGAACTCGAATTACACTTTCCATTTAATTGTAATCTTCACGATAGTCTTCGATACAACTTTTACAGAAACATTAGTAATAGATACCCTCTTTTCAATGATTTTGTCAACAATGAAAAAAACCCTCTTCGTATTTAACAATGTTATATCCTCATATCTACAGACTTACAGCTGCTTAATTACATACATTCAAATATGGAATATAGACCGAAACTTATTTTTTAATTACAGTCTTTATTTTGATGTGAGATTTATAACATAAATATGTATAGCTAATAGCATGATTTGTGGTGATATTTGGCATAAATAGCACAAGTGATATTTTGTAGGTAAAACTATGTACTATGATAATACTATGTACTCTTGCCGTCTTTTTTCGTCCTCACCCTTGGGGATTTGACAGCTCAAGAGTCCCCACCCCCGGGAATTTGCCATCCAAGGCAAAAAAAAATGCCAGTGCCCGGGGGTCACCCCGGGAGGGGGGGAGGGAGCTGGGCGCAGGTGGAATTGACTGATGCATTAATCCAGAGAATATAATAACAGTAGCAGTCGGCTATGCGCGCGCAAAACCGCTTTCATATGAATGTGAATGCCCGTTAGTTATCCTGTCAACAAAAGTATGATAACTGGATTGGACAACATAGTAAACAAGATTAATATTTAATTCAACGATTTTATTCGCAGTATCTTACATACAATTAGCCTGCGAAGACTGCGAATGGTGAGGAGCGAGGATTGACGTTTGTATTCCCCGGCAAAGATGCATCAAAACAGTAGCGCGTGACACAAGTATACAGCCATGCACGAGGTCTTATTACTCAATGGAATATTCAACCGTGTTCAATGACGAAAGGCCGTTGATACGAAATAGAAAAATTAACACTGGAGTTTAAAGCTTATTGAAGCTTTCGGATGACAAGCGACGTAGCATGCTTGGAAACGTCTAAAAATATATACACCATGCACTTTGTGCAACGTGGTGAAACTTGAATAAACTTAAAACTTATTTACATCGATTTCTAGACTTTGTTGGCACTCGTATCGTACCGAAAACTTGTCCGGTACTCAGCTGAGATTAGGCTCTACTTTCAGTTTCTGGGTAAATAGATTCCATTCCGGCAAGGCGAATCGACAGGGGTACCCAACGTCAATTTTCGGAAAATATCTGTTCGGAAGACGATTTGAGATCTAAAATTTTCGGAACATTTGTCGTAAAATTTCTTGCTTGCCTGCCTCTCCTAGGATTTTCGAACATCTAAAAATGGCATCTAAAAAATTTACCCTTAAAAGGTCGCCCAGAATTTTTGGGAGCCTTTCTTCTGGCTGAAATTTTCGAAAAGGTAAGTTTTGATCCCTATAATTTTCGTACCACTAGACTTCCAGCTAGGAAATCCGAACAGATGAAAAATTATTAGGGGATAAAAATCTACCTATATCTACCGTTTAACTACCAAAATACGTTTAACAATGCTATGTTTAAGTGGTTTTGAACTATATTCTCGTTGGGTGCCCCTGAATCGAAAAGTCTCCCATTTAGTACATTACTTGTGTACCTAAATTACGTGTGCTTGAGAATCGAATGTAATAAAAATGATTGTTGCATCACTTGCGAATGCATTCACGTGATTACCGTGACATCACTAGTAGGACCTTAAACTCAACACCAGGGCCTTCGAGGCGACCTACCATGCATATTAGTCGGTGCAACAGGGGAATTCCAAGAATGTGAACAGATCGAGAAAAATTTCGCTATACAGTTAAAAGAGTGACGCTGACCAATAACTAAAGGCTTGGCTACCAATGGTGGCATCGAACGTTAAAAATGGCAAAGACCATTTACAAGAGGGAAAAAGCGTCGCTGTCGTGGTATCTTAAACTCCCTGCTTGAGGAATAATTACTTCCGGTTATTGCACTAGACGCTTCCGTAGTCTTTGCCTTAAAAAGTCCCAAATATTTGAAGGGGGCGAATTTGGTGGGAAGATAAGCGAAATATACGGCAAAGAAAGGAAAGAAACAGCGTTTTGGTACCTCGAACATGGTTGCAGTATGCCTTTTGAAATTGGTGTTCACTTGAATTTCTCTCCGTCCACTGAAAGCTTTTCAGTAATAACCCATGGAACCCACAACGTACTTGATAAAAAGATAGTGCTTACCTCAACAAGTTTTCGCTTGAAATCAGTAAGTTCCCGTTCTTTGTCAAGGTCACGGACTGTTTTCATGCTGCTATTAACTTCAACTGCAGTAGAGTTAAACGTTCGACAAAGTTGTTCACCAACTAGTACAAACCGCTTCATCTGCAGTACCTTAGGACGTTAAAGAAAGAGAACCAATCATTAAAAAAAGATTAACTACGTATTAATGAAAGAAGGTACATTTCTAAAATCCTCCCGAAAATTCTCTCATGTACCCTTCGTATAATATATTAAGCGTAGTTTAAATAACTTTTTACTTTTACATATTATAGGTAATTCCAATTATTTAATTATCAATTATGTCCCCAAATTAGAATGGGGTTGTTCCCAAGTTATACGGCTCTGACACGTTAATAAAGTTTTCTATTCTACCTATTCTACCTCCAACCATACCACTCAGCATTCAAGAATGGCGAGCCGGTTATGTTATGCAGCTTAATCCCCATTAAGAGACCAGAAATCAAAGTACCGAGATAATTGTAGAAAAGCCTGAATGAGAAGTTTAACCACTGTTGTCACCTCTACTAAGAGGTCATCAAGCGCCTGATACCCTTAGTTTAGCCTCATTTCTGAAGGTGACGCCGATTATGGACCAGTGATGCTTCTCCTGTCGCACGTTTGTTTCAAACCTCCATTAGTGGCCACTTGGCGATACCCGTACGGTGGCCACTTAATGGAGTTCAACTGTACCACAGTGATAAATTATCCAGCAGTCAAATTGCTGAATTGTGTTTACGTGTTCTGCCATTAATTTACTGTGCAGGACAACGTCCCATTCCAAAGTAAAATATTAGCCTTATTGCTCGTGATCACCATGTGTGTCATGGCTTGACTGTGTTGATGCTTTTTGTGATACCGTTAATTCCGAAAATAAGCCCTCCATGTATAAGTCCCCCAAACCGGTAACGCAAAAAACCCTCCGTTAAATCGCCCCTCCAAATATAAGCCCCCCCTGTGGCTTGTACTTGGAAACTTGCCCTCAAATACAAAGTAAAACAAAGCAAAAAACGGTAAATTTACTTCCAACGCTAGCCCAATCGATTTTGAAAGGCAAATTTCCCTCCGTAGATAAGCCCCTCAACATGGGCCTTTGAAAAATACAAGCCCCCGGGCTTAGTTTCGGAATTTTACGGTATGATTTTAAGGTACTGGCAGTCTTCTTAGCGATGTTCGATTGAATGATGAAGTCGCTGTCAGCAAATACGATTCGTTTTTCAGAACCGAAGTCCCAAGAAGAGATAAAAGCCAATAAAAAAAGAGAATTGATAAATACGAACAAGAAGGTAACAAAATTTGCTCTGTTGTTAAATTAAGCTGAATATCGGTTGTACTGATTTTGGAAAAGACCTCAGTTGGTTGTTGGATTATTTCTTTGGTGTAATGAAAAAAACTTATCGGAATAGTCTCGCCCCACAATAGCAACGATTTTTAAAACTCGACTTCAATATCTTTCCATATTGCTCGCGAACTGTGTTCAAGTGTATATTAACAAAACATAACTGATACCTTGGGAATAAACACTAGGCAGAGTGTTATAGAGGTGCAAACAATAATGCACGTTGATACAATGGAGAATGAGGCGTCCGGCTTCTCCCTTACAGCAAGTGATAACGGGGCACCAATAGTGCACAGGACAAACACATTGTACACAGACATCCCAATGTATCTGCAATTAATTCAACATATTAGAACTGTAAAATCCAAAAAGCTTATGAACAGTCTGCAGTATTTGCATTACGTCTAGGGAGAGCCTAGGTCTGTGCGTTTGATCACGAACGCTTCACACAAATATTTCGGAAACACTGGAAAAAGAAGTGACACGCGGATCGACTTGTGCAACTCAGGGCTCTACAATTTTGGGATATCTCTCTGAGTTCCCTATCATGATGGAATTACGCCCTATTAACTCGTACATATGAATGAATCGCTTCTCAAAGCAAAGATATCTATTGTAACAGATACTATGGTAACACCTATTATGGTAACACATACTTGGAATCATTTAAAGCGGGTATTGTCACGCTTCTGGTTTCCCAAGCAAGGAACGCTCCAAATAGTAAAAGTAGTCCTTTGTAACCACACAGTATTCCTAGCCAGCGGTATGTTTGTCTGGACTCGCATAGTTCCAGTTGCTTGACAAATGCAACGTCCAACACGGACTCTTGGGACTGAAGACACAAATCATGCGAAAATCACGTCATTTACTGCATAAAGAAGTGACTGCCAGGCCTCTTAGGATTGAGTATGCTGCTTACGGTTGGTTATAAATTTGCCGAGCTGCAAACCATGCGCAATCCTTTGTTCAGTGGAACCCCGATATAAAAAAGTGCCGCAGGACTGGAAATATTGCATTTTCGTTGTAACGGAAGGTATGGTCTATCGAAGTCCTGCTCCGTCAGATTGACAATAACTTAGGAGAAGGAAGTCATCTGTAATGCAGATTTTTCGGCAGCTAGAGGTTTTTCATTAAGGGGCTTGCTATAATGTTAAGATATTAAAGATCACGCACTTTTTATTACCATAGTCAAAAGTGATAAGGATACTGAATGAACTATAAGGCCTACCCCATCTGAAAACTCGCGAATAATCCTCTTCATGGGATCCGTGACTTGCCATACGGTCAAATATATGATGTCAATTATTACTAGAAGCAAGACCACACCGAACAAATGACGGTCTTTGATAACCTAAAGAAATCGCAAGATGTCAAATGTAAAATTGTTATCCACACTATAAAATTAGAGGTAAGAAAGTACACGTAGCCTATTCTAGAAGAGTGTGGGTCAAATATAAGTCATGAGAACAAGGGCGTGCTTTGTTAACAGGAGCGAAATGAACTGTATTTCGTCCGTAGTGATGTTTAAAAATTTGATTGCCTTCCTTGCTTTCAATGTTGTTGAAACTTGGAGACAATATAAATTGATGATAAATCCCAGGATTGCCAATTTTTTTAAAAAATCATCAAGCGGTTTTCTAAATAACCGTGAGATTTATAGGCGTGGACCAAATTGCATACATAAACGGTAACAAAAGCAGCTGAATGAGTGTAGGCCAATCAAATTCTTCCTTAACGAAATGGGCATAAGCAACCTTCTATTTTCTTACACAATTTCAGATGGAATCAAACCATTATGAGATTAAATTTATTCTCCAGACCTACTCATTTTCTTTCGGTATTAGCAAATAATTTCGATAGCTTGGTTATCAAAATATTTCCAAAACGCTCTCATAGAAATACAAAGGCAAGTACAAAACGTTATGACATCACTTATGTTGCCAGCCACCTTAAAAATGTCGTCTCTATTGTATTTAGAACAGATCTTAAGAACAATTTGCATTAATGACTGTAAATGGTTCTTTAGGTCTACCTTCCGTTTTAACCGTTTGTTGGTAAATATTTGATGAACCCGCCAGGTTTTGGAGAACATCGCACCGTACGCCAAACTGAAGCCCAGAGAGAGTGTCCAGGCTCTGCTCTGAAATTCAAACCAGAATTTTGAAGTTTAACACGACATGCCTGAAAAAGGCGTCAGGGGATCGAAATTTGGTCCGGCCCCTTAATCATTCTTCTTCATTCATTCATTCTTCATTAATATAACCCTTCCAAGCCTTTCCTTTTGTCTCACTGAGATAATTGGAAAGAAAGGTTTTTAACATGACTAAGCTAATTTAACTCTGACTGGCTTTTTTACTCTCTCCTCCCACCTAGATTAATATGATGGACCCCCCCTGCTTTACAAGTTCACAAAAACCCTTAAGGTGGTTCCTTTATTTAAAAAAGGTGCATTGAACTATGACGAACCTTCTGTCATTTTTTCAAGGCGATGGCTACAAAACTTTGAGAAAAGGTGGAGTTATATGTCATTCGGCTTTACAAAGAAAATCGCGTCTTGCGCATAATTTCGCTGATATTTCTTACTGAAACTTGTGTTCTGAGCTTAAGTTGATATAATAATATGCCAAATAAATTTCAGAGAAATCGTTGGAGAAGAAAGAACGTACTCGAACTAGAAAGTCATTCAGAATTCAAGTGTTTTAATTGTTTTTGGAATTTCGAACCACCTTAAAACAACGTTGGGTGCTAATGACCAAGATTATCCCAGAAATCAGAGAGTGATTGCCACTTACCGCACATATGACCTCATAACCACTGGAAATAAATGCCCCATCCAAACCAAAGAGAAAAACAGACAAATAACTGAGAAAACAGCCCAGTAGAACTGAGTTGTTCAGATTAGGACTGGACATCTTGATAAACCTTTCAATAAAGAAAGAATCCTAGTTACTCAATCGCCATGCAGCGTTTGAATGCATGATCTGTTCCTTGTGCATTGTTTCTTTATTTTGTCGGCCAAGAACAACGGTTCAATTACGTTAGACTTACTGCGTTTTAAATGATCGGTTCAAAGTAACCAGTTTAATTTCAGAAATATCAGAATCTAAAAAAATTTCAGTTAAGAACCTTCCTGGGTCTTTTTCGCCAGAAGAAACAAAAAAAATAACTTATAGTAAAGGTTACTGAGTATCAGGTATTGTGAATTGTAATCGTAAGGGTAGTTTTTTGCACGTGTCAGTTTGTCAGTCCGATTTTGCAGACATAATTTTCTAAACACAAAAATCGGCTTAATTTACCTTTCGGGTAGAATCTCGAAATTACCTTTCAGGCGAAAAGATTGACCTATAAACATAAACATCGAAATGGGCGCAGCGAAGGAGTTTCGTGAATGAGAACCAGCCTTTATAAAGCATTAAATTTCATGGGCTGTTTAGCCTCTCAAAGGAGATGGGCTAGTGAACCTGATGCAGACGTAAAACAGAATGGAATAGAATGGATAACTTATGGGTAAGAATTCTTTTCCAAGACTATTGCTGTCACGAATTGATGTATAATTTTCGCTTTTTGTTTTAAAATCAGTATAAGTATAAATTTCTGGATTTCTTTGTATAGGTTGAAGCTTATTCGCTTTAATAACGGAGCTACGTTACATGAAAATTTTGTGCCATACACTTTATTAACTGTGGCGAGGAATGCCATTCATTGCACAAGGGTCACTTTCGTTAGTTTAGGTTTCGTTAAACATTGCCTCGCGGCATAGTTTTGAACTGCATCCATACGGAACCTCCTTCCACCCACAAAGGTACTGTACTAACTGGGATGGTCTCCGTTACCCTAGGTGAAGATTGTTTGGAAGATGGATTGAGTTAGATGGTCAGTCGAGTTATAAATACCTTATATTTCTTTTAGATATGTTGAACCACAGGAATAAAATGGATACTAGTATCGCAATTGACGTCACAACCGCCATGAATATGAAGAGTGATAGGGATACCGTCATCAGTTCATACATCAGCTTAGTCGTGTCCGGGGGAGGAGATCCACCTATTGGAATGTAACATTTATCAGTTACCCCAAGTAATAATAACTTCAAACAATTTCCAAGGCCTTCTTGATTCTGTGCAAAAGAGAGAAATTTAGGGAGCAAGAATAATTACGCTGGTCTCTAATTGAGTGATCAAGCGCATGTCTGCGAGGAAAAAAAGAGTTTGGACATAAGCTTTTGAAGAAAACCACACTCGAGTGGAAGATTGGCGATTGCTTTCTCTCTTATGAAATTTATTTTAATTTGTCCGGCGCTGTTTCTAGCTGAAACCCTCACTCCACGTCTTTTCTATTTGCAAAAAGTCTCGGAGTCGTGGAAGTTAATTTATCTGTGTTAAGTCACCTTTCAACTTCAAGCTGCAAAAATGGCTCTGTCACTGATGACGTTGTTATTCTTTTGCACTGATCAGGCCGGTCAGCTTAGCAGCTGAGGCTAGTAAGTCATACTGAAAAAATAGGCAGTCCTTACCTTCCCACTTTATAGCATCGTATCCTGACCAGTTAATCAAACCATTATTTACTTCATAAAGCCCTACTGTGATTTGCTTTCCGTCTGTAAGTAAAAAAAAGAAAGAGTTTCGCGGCTGGCCATGAATTGGAATCAAGCGAAAGAGGGATGTGTCGCCGAACTTTCCATTCACAGGGTGGTTTACGTATGGAGGCTTAATAGAGAAAAATAGGTGAGCTGATATACTAGATACTATACTTAGGTGCGCTCTGATTGGTTAACTTTTAAATATAGCTTTAGCCGTTTTATTGCTTTCTGTTTGCTTGTTTTTTTCTTATCAACTTGTATAGAAAGGAAAGTAAATATTTGGGCTAGTACTCTTTGATTCATTTACTTATCATGCTCAGACTTGTGCGGCAAATACTGAAACATGATTATTTCGCTGCAGTGGTTGCTGGACCACTGAACACAAGTATTTGAAGGAGTTGAACCTATAAATGGTCAAGGTATGGTTACAAGTATTCGACTTGTAGTCAGACAGAGAGTTCAGTTTAGCATTGTCGATAACTACGAGAACGAGACCTTCTCTTGCGTGTCGTGTCCGCTCAGACAGTAAAGAATAATCCCTGATATAGTGCATGAGTCAGGGGAAAATGCTGGCGTGTGTGACTAGGCTGCGCTTTTTAAGGGACAATCACTGAATTAACTGAAACATCAGAATAACTGCCTCCTTCCGGGACGAACACAAGAAAATTACAGAAAAGCCAAAGGCACGCAACAGAGCACGGCCGGATGGGCAAAACGGAAGAGGATTAAAAAGAACGAATTGGGGCTTGCGCTAAAAACGTCAGCTTCTTTATCTCCCTATGGTGGCCAATCAACTCAGCTGTTAACCTGACCAATCTTTGTATTTTACTGCCCCACCGAAACACCACAATTCTAAACAAACTACCCTTCATTCGTTTTGAGATTAAAATTCGATAAAGCGGTTCGCTTACAAGACAGCAGCTTGCTTTTTTGCTTCGAACTATCAATATTTATTACAACGCATGCAGTGTGGCGATAAATTTGTCAGTAAAACTTAGGGATATATTTCACCAATCTATGCTGTAAACAAGACGCTACGGAGCGTACACTTCGGCGTGGTGTTGTGGAACTGATTAATTGTAAATGCAGAGGAATAGTAAGAAATGATATATGGTGAGAGTAAGGTGTCAATTTGTGAAATTATGGGATTTGTCAGGATATTCTGAAAAGAGCAACGTCCAAAAGGCCTACTTGCTAAAAACTAGCATTTCGGGGCAAATTGCCTCTGAGAAATTAGCCGAGTTATGCTCTGATGACTCCCACCATAAAAATCCTTCCAAATTTGACTTGAGTCTAAAAGTTTAGACCCAAGTCAAATATGAGGTTACTGGCGGTGAGTAACAAGTCTAAAAAAACAATCAGTGAAAAAAGAATTCTCTATTTTTTTCTACATCAGGCCTCAAAAACAACACAACAGTCTCATCTCTTGTCTGATCACGCGCATATCTACGAAATTTCTTGTCTCTGTGCGGCCACGAAATATCTTCTGTTTATTCCTCGAGTAAATAAAAGACTAAAATCGAAGTGATCTCAAAATATCTCGAAGTAATTCCGGTCTCATTTTGTGAAATAGCCGAAACAAGCCGAAAAGTCACGAACTTGCGCGCTCAATCTTATCCCGAAACTAGTGCATAATTTCATATAGCCTTTTTCCATATCCCAAACTACCTTGGGTCGCAGGAGTGCCACAATCGGCTAATCCCTCAACTTAGAGTCTCCTCTGATCTGACGGGGTCACCCAGGTGAGTCGGTTCAAACCCCGGGTAAACCAAAATAATAATTTTTTCTTCCTCGAACAAGTTAAAGAATAAATCAAAGAAATAGAAGTGATCTTGAGATATCTCGAACTAATTCGGCTCTCACTTCGTCAAACAGTTGAATAAAACCAAAAACTTACAGACTTTGCCTGCCCAATCTTGTCCCCTAAAAAGCTACTTTGGGACATTCCTGAGCGTCGCGAATCCTTTACTTAGCGCTCCGCCGAAGTAATAAAGCTTACTGTAACAAAAACTAAGCAACGTCAATGTAAGGATTGTAGTCCGAGTGCAGGGATTCTGCTGGGCTAGTTTTGTATGATATCTACCTCTCATTTGAACAATCCTAGTGTCTCCCACCCTGTTGCCTTGGCTTGTGAATCCAACAGGGCCCTGCAGCGAAAAGAAAAAGTCATTCCAAGAGACAAGACTACTTTGGTTGTAGCCTTTCAAAGAAGACAGAAAAAAGTTTTATTTACTTACGGTAACTCCATAAAAGTTTGTTTCTTTCAGGGCATCCGTAATTGTGTTGGTAAAGGCCTTATCTCCATATGGTACCTTATCTAAGCTCGTACCAGGGGCCAAACGAGGGATGGTCCTATTCAAAGCCAAGGCCATAGCCCAAACTGCGTCATACGCGAAACCTCGATGAAGATCCCTTAGTTCTGGTGGCACTAGGGTTTCGTACTCAACTAGAAAATCTTTCACCGTCTAGATAAAAGATAATATCCCTAAAGTTGTAAGAAGTCTTAAGCGAATTATGAAATGTTCAGTTTAACTCTAGTCCTCAGAACACTACTTAATAAATACTAGAGGAAGGAGAGTTGAAATGTAGAAGAGCAAATGCGAAAGTAACTGTTACACGGGCGTAGGCCGCGAGACACAGTTATCTCTCTTTCGGCGCGAAGGGCATAAATCTCGAATTCACATATTTCTCTCGGGCTTCATGCAAGTAACCCTCTTCAGTTTCCTTATCACCCACAACAACGCTGGTTAACGGACAGATCGAACAAATGCTGGACTGTGGACAAATTCAGTCCTTACTGATGAGTAACCAGTTCACTAATCTGAAAACAATTTTAAGCATTTACAGTATTCCGAAAGTTTGATGCAATTCTGTTGTTCAGTCATTTGTTAATGTTCAGACATTTTGGTCTGTTACCAAAAGCATTTGATCAGGACGTGCACTAGTTTTAGACCGACTTACCTTCCCATAAACTGTTTTTGTGTCCGGTGCGGTTGTCCAAAGATAATCTGTTGCTAAGTGACCATCCATGGCCTGAAGGATTTCAGCAGATGAACATGATATAGTCGGGTCTTTGACTAGCCACCAGTCTCTTTCCATATAACCAAGCAATATCCAAACATACTTAGCACCAAACATGCCGAGTTTGTAAGCCTTTAGAGTGGAGACAAAACAATTTAAAATGCTAAAAACTGTTGTCACTACAAAATAAATTGTCACTGAAATACCCTATAAGGAGATAACAATCAGTAAAGATTTGTATTGTATTTAAAGTTAGGCAACAATGAACCCAACGTCTGTTGTTGAAGATCAAGTAATAAAATTATCTCCTAAAAGGCGATTATTAGCTCTTGAAATAATTGTTGTTAGCTCACCTCACAAAATACTTTTCGGCCGCCTCTACCAAAAAAGTTTGCTATAATGATTCTTGTACCTTTTTTCTGTAAAAATATCATGGTATCAGTAACACCTGAAATCATTTAACTTACGTTGTCACTCAGTTGTGTGCCCAATATTCTTTTAACTACAACTAAATGGATCAGTGCACAAAGACGAGTAACGTGTTCTACGCATCTAGGCAGTTATAGGATACTTTTATGATACCAAGAGGACAGGATTTCGGGTGATTATGTTGAGAGGCAGGCTTACCAAGGAAGAAAAAATTATGCTTGTGCCGGCTATTTGTTAAGTAGGGTCATTAGTAATGTCCTATAATACCAAGTTTTTCATTTGTGTAAGCCCAGTAAATACAGTTCGTATTGTTACCTTCATATTTTCCATCTGAACACGTGCATCCTCCCTAAAACTCTCAGAAGAAATGTGTTTGATTCCGTTTTTCAAAAAGAGCACATGAAGATCAGACATTGCCTGGGAAATGAACAGAACAATAGCGAATAAAAAGACAAAAAAATCCTGGAAATTCCTAGTAATAGTCTTAATTATTTTGTAACCCAATTTTTAGTTTGAATCTTTCATGCTGATCTTGATTTCTTGGCAAAAATTCAACACAGCGTTTCACCAAAAACTGGACATTGGATACTTTTCTCTCCAAATTTTTTGAAGTTTTTGCATTTTTTTTGGTATTCGTTCGGTTTGCCAATATTGCGGTGAACATTTTGGTGTGCGGAACAAGTTACCAAAACTATCCACATTTTTTCTTCGTAGATGAGTAATGCTAGGACCATCTCAGAGCCGTACGGTGTATTCCTACACCTATTTATACAATTGGCAAAGGGCATGATATCTATAGAGAAACAATGGGGAGCCAATACTTTTGTGTAAAGAAGTACTCACAACCCGTAAGCTAACGTCCTAACGATGTGCATGAAACAAATGTCGTACCTACTAAAACACTAAAACACCACTCCTCGACAACGCGCTTCACAACGCAAAAATCTTTTATATCAACAGGTGGTTGAAGTATATGGCTTCGTAGATTTCAATAAGGAATCTTTCTTGTGAAATGTATTGATTATCAACCTGTGTAAGGTCTGGTCATTTTTAACGCCAAAATATGATGCTTACCGTGCGATGTATGTCCTCTTCCTGAAAAATGGTGCCAACGTGAGTCCATTTGAATTTTTTCAGCAGCGCTATTCGAGGAACGTTGAATGATGTATCATCTGGGATTGTGCGATAAAAGTGTGGATAATTTTTCTTGTCTGATAGCTCGGGAGAGCTACTGGAAAACGAAATCTGTAGAGATGACATTTCACAATGGTAGGTGAAAACAGTTGTAAAACTTTGCACATGGACAATGTGCAAAGTTGTCATATTTCATTGATATTCTATTTAGAGAATCCGCCTAGCTCGAGAACCCCAAAACCTAGTGGCGCCAGGACTCAGCGCTCCAGCCTAGGAGAGAACCAGGCTGTCTATACAATTCTCTTACCTGCGGTATAGCCCAGGGATCCAGTCCAGCAAGAGCCGCAACAACTCTGCTGCATGAAGAAAACCCCGCTCCAAGAAGCACAATCTTACGGGAAGAGTTATAAAGGAACTCAAACAGGATGTGCTCCGTCCAACCAGGGGAACCCTTCAAGTAGAAAATGGCACCAAATTAGTCTTTCTCTACCCAAAGATTGTGTCGATATCCCTTAAAAGTCCTGGAAATGAGGAAGGTAAGGAAATATTACGGTTACGTTACCCTTGTGTCACTCCAAATCAGTGTCAGATTATAGTGGTTCAACACGCCAGCGGTGTTCACGTGATCAAAAGCCATTTGTGCAGCTGGTAAAATACCTGTGCCTCCAGTCCAACTATCATTATGTAGTGACGTCATAGGAAACATGGCACCAACGTATAAAGGAGTCTTTGCTGATATAGTTGGGAAACTAATTGAGGTAACGTACGTCACGAACAAAAGAGATGGTAAACGCATTGTTTTAACCTGCCAACATAATTAAATGTTTAGTTAGTGAAACTTGCTGGTAATTTATACAGGGCTACTCGTATACATGACATTCTTTTTTTCAACAAATGTCGTATGACAGAAGGTTGGAGGAAAAAGTAATGACGTACTTTTGAATTTCTGAGGGGAGATAATAACAATATAGATGTCCAATGTTTTATCAGGTTTTACATGTGCGATTCTCATGATTTGTATACTTCACTCTCTGTAACGTTTGTTATATATTTTAACGGGCGAAGTAAAGACATTTCATCTATTTATTTCATAATTAATGGTTGCAGAGTGTTCGTTGGACACCGATTGAGATCGACTTGATGCATATGACTTTAAGAAATTACAAATACATACTCTTGGTGGACAGCGAAAACTGATGCTTCATGATTGCTGAGCACCCCCCCCCCCCTTCCCCCGCCAGCTCGCGGCCAAATATGAATTTTAATATATCAAATTTCGTCTAAATCCCACATGCACGAGTATGAATAGACGTTGCATTTGATGGCTTTAAAAGAACCTCGTCGTTTATGTAAAGTTCTGGTCAAGTCTGCCTAGCAGACGTACGCGTAAGTCAACAACCCCAGGTGAATTTCGTGCCGACCGCGCGCCGGCTATGTATTATTAGTCTTTCATCTTAATTACATTAAAGATCAGTACGTTTGCCAAGGAAAGTTCTGTAGTAAATTAAGCCCTTGTATGCTATCTCGTAAGGCAAGTTGCTTGTGGAACTTGTCAAATTACGTTTTATTATTTCTATAGTGTATAGCACCCCCAAAATTACATAATGATCGAAAAAAAAAAGGAAAAGAAACAAAAAATTAAAGACAACGAAAAGCTTCTGATAAGTCTTCTACTTTTTTAGTATGTTTAAATAGGTCATTTACGTATCTGGCCGGAAAAATTTATTAAGAAATTATTTTAAACAAAGTAGCCAAGCGTATACGAAATAATTACCAAAATGTCCCAGCCATTTCTTGTATATGTTAAAGAAGAAGAAGCCAAGAATCTCGAACTGAAACTGGATTACAGTTTAAAAGAAAAACCGGCCTTTAATTTGATCAATTTCTTGAATTATTCCACTGAAATTGTGGTTACCATAACGTTGCCTTATAATGACGTTTTTCTCAATAGAAGCCAACGAGTAGGTTTTTTCTTGGTAATTAGCGCGCTTTGAGACTAAGGCTATATTCACACAATACTGGATAGACGAGTCGGCACGAAACGATATCCGGCCGGTATTGTACGAACACCTATCCGATATCATGACTCTCCGCTTTTGAGATCGGCGCGGCGCTGCTTCGCTTCGTCACAGAAATTGCGCCGCCACAAGCGTTCTTATGTGTGAATCTGGTATAGTTTTCGTGCCGGTCCAGAAGCTATCCGGTAGTGTTAACATAGGTTATTAACTTTAGCCTATCGTTTCTTCTGCTCTTCAACCTAAACGAAATTGTTCATCCTTAGGGGGTTTTTCTTCCGTTTAATATAGTGCACACTCCATTTTCAATGTTTTCATTTTTAACAAAGTCAGCTTCAAATCCTTGTGTATTTTTTGTTCACAAAATGTTCCCCTCATGCAAAGTTTTGTTGTCTAACATCAAACCCTCATGTTAGTCTGCTGTTCTTATTTTAAATAAATTTGGCACGTTCAAAAACTTTTTAAATCGAGGTTCTTATATATACTTACTTTCCATGTGCATGTTAATGTTGGCGAGGTGACTTGGCGGACTATATATTAGACTGTTCGCATATTGCTTAAAACAGCTCAACCATGAGATCTTATAAAAAAGAAAAATAGGTTAAATAACGCCAAAAGGCCATCAACGCAATGAAGTCTTTTCAGATGAGCATTAATTATTAACATAATCAAGAGTTTTGGGTTATTGTGTAATTCTGTTAGCATTTTGCTTGACGTAAATTTATTTGTTTTGTCTCGACTGGCTCATTACATCAGCATCTGATTATCAGAAGGAAAATAAAACTTGCGGAAAGAATACTCACGCACTTTACTTATAAAGAAAAATAGGTTAAATAACGCCAAAAGGCCATCAACGCAATGAAGTCTTTTCAGATGAGCATTAATTATTAACATAATCAAGAGTTTTGGGTTATTGTGTAATTCTGTTAGCATTTTGCTTGACGTAAATTTATTTGTTTTGTCTCGACTGGCTCATTACATCAGCATCTGATTATCAGAAGGAAAATAAAACTTGCGGAAAGAATACTCACGCACTTTACTTATAAAATTAGGAAAAATGTAAAGCTCCTTTTATCTTTCAGGTCTTCACACATTCTGGTCCTGCTTTATTATATCAGTAGCCTACAAAGAAATTGCTGAATTTTGAAGCTACATTCTGTTTCTTTACTTTGAACCTTAGACAGATCGCCCGTTCTTATAAAACCTCGCTCTGGTTTCATAAGAGAGAAGAATATGAGTAAACGAATTGCGGCTCGGAGATACAGACTCTAGCTTTAAAGGATCTTAAAGAGCCCTTCCTTTGAACAAAGCTTGTAATGTCGTCGATCTTTCCCTTCGCTGCAAATAAAGCAGGTCTATATTTTGCTAAGTAACACCACCAATGTTATCAGATGTGTCTAACATTTTGAAATTATACAAGCAGTAAGTTAAAATCATGGAAATTAGTTTCTTGTTCAACAGAGTCGAGTCGTAGTTTTGCTGTCTCCTGAGTGATTTCGTGTTGCAAGCTTTGTACGAACTTAAAATAGAAAAACCGAGCAACCAATCAACTAAGCAGAGACGCGTTCAGTTGGTTGTTCCCTGATCAGCTGCAGTCACAATTGAAATAATTCATAAGAATGACGAATTTCAACCATAAAGCAATAAACATGAAAATAAGAAACTATAGATTGAAAGGCAGGCATTTCAGTTACTATTTATATAGGCAAACTGAATTCCTGTGTATTAATCAATCTTTGTTTTAAATGACCCGCACTGCACAATGACTCAGTTTTGTCACTAGTTAGTATAAACAAACTTCAAACTTTGCGTCAAGTATCTCAGAAGGCCTGTATCGATGGAATAAGTCGCTTTGTTACTTTTCTGGATACAAAAATATCAGCAAATGCACGCATCTTTTCCTGTAGTGAGTTGAGTTCACTGTCGCCCTCATCATAAATAACGTGGCAGTTTAAAATGTATTGTAGATATAAAGTAAGTTAAAAGTAATTCGTTAAACTACTAAATTGTTGATACACATAGCGGTATAAAACACTATACATTTGAACAATACAGGTTAAAGAAAAGGCAGTCTGTAAAACGCTGTGTATTGGAATGTATCTAACCAGTGCTAATTATTTTTGGCCCGCATTTCACATCAGCAAAATTAAAACCTGCCTTTGTGTATATTACGTTTTTTTTAACAATACTTCTATTTTGTTTTCGATTTCGTTGCAAGTCATATGTCAGTCAAGGAAGTTCATGGTCGAAGACATAGTCCTTAGATTTTTTAAGGTTTTCCTCGTCTGGATACAGCTAAAGGCCCTGATGCTGAAAACAAAACACGACCACAGTCTTAACTCATTTGAAACAAATATTCAAAAACCTTTAAATGTAAGAAAGGCCTGAAAATTCAATTAAGTTTTGCTTTACATATGTCTGAGCTTAAAAGTAAAACTCATTTCCGCTTAGAAAGCTTAGATGCTCATTACTTTAATAGCTCATCGAAAACGCAATCAAACCAAAACTATGAATTTCTAGCGTCAAAACGCCTCAACCTTTGTTTTCAATATTTGAGGCTGCAAAATAAAACTACATTGAAGATAAAGAATAAAAAAAATTACGTGAGTTGAGTGATATAACGGTGACACTGACAAGCAATATAGCATTTTTTCTGGGCGTAGCTATATGTAGACCTTCTACTGTCTCCACATACTTCCCAAAATCAAAATTAAGCGACTGGTTCAGACTGAAGTTAACCTGCTATCCTGCAATTATACAAAATTCAATAAAAATGCAAAATTTCACTTTGTAACCTCTAAACACGAACACTGATACATCTCCATGAAAAAGAAATACTATAGTCACACCCTAAGTTCATTCCACAACTCAAAAGTTATGTGTGTAAGACTAAATATCGACATAATTCACCCCATAGCAGCAGCAATCATTACATTTCATCCAGTAATGTTCAGTGACCGCCTTCAGTTTAGTAATCATATCTAACCTGGTAATCAGTAAAAAACGAATGAGAATAACAAGCAAGTCTGAAAAGACTGAAATGAAAGGAATGTAGCAATAAGAAAGTATTAGTTTTATGGTTCCGCCATTCACCAAAAATGCATTTCTAATTGAATTGTCAGAATGTGAAATAAAGCTGACTATCAACTTGACAAACAGTCGATTGAATGTGAACTAGTATAAAAGGACACTACATGACCAATTCGTTGAAATTTTAACACTTAACGACCTAGAAACCTGTAAGCTAAGCCGGGTTATCCAGTAAGTAAGGAGGCCTAGTAATGGTTGTCTTCTTTCACGTCGTCTAAAGTTGCACATTGAAAAGATATCACTACTGATTGTAAGTCACACTTTTCTGATATGAACAAAACCGTACTGATATCGTTAAACTTGCTTTATGTCAGACATTCAAATTGACATTTTCTTGCTGCAAATCATTATTTTATGACAAAAATGTAAGACAGTGCCTTTCTTGTTTGCTACGGGTGTTGGTCCTACCTAATATTTTCCCTGACCGACAGAGAACTGAGCGTTTAACACACAGTAAAGAATATATGAATAAGGAGGTAAGTTGATTTTTAGTGTTATTAAACTTTTGTTATGTCGCAAAAAGCAGTAATACTGTACATACCTGTGTTTTTAAAGAATAGTTTGAAGCCGGGAAACCGATGTAAGAAGACAGTCCGTTATGACGCAGCCAGACTATACGTCAATCTATTTTGTTGTCTTTGATCTCTGATAGTCACCACGTGTTTTGAATTCTTAACTGCATCAAAATCGAAATGAAGTTTCATTAAAACAATACTATTTTAATTGGGCCTTTCAACGCCGTGAGTCGAGTTAGCTTATGTTCGAAACTTTGTCGAAATAGCCTCATTTATCGTTGATTCTTTTGGGAGAAAACTGTAATTTGTATCGTGTGGTTAAGGATTACAGTTTTTGTAGTTTGTTGCACTTAACTTTGATTTCAGCTTCAAAAATATTTTTTTCTTACTCTCGGTTGGACACCAATAATAAGAGATGATGCAAAATGATGATGAAAAATTATAGTCATAGGGTAAACTATTAGTCCCAGCAACTACGCCGGAGACTTCGAGGCAGTCCTACGTTACTGACATCACGGTACTTAATTTCTGACCTTTCTGGGTCATAAATAGAAAGAAAAACACACCTAAAACGATACTGATGAAATGAACGCTAAATGTTTCATTGTATCTATTGCAGTCTAGCTGCACTATTACGTGTTTCCGTTCCAGTGGTAAGAAAACATTTAGGTTTTATAGTCTCTGTTTAGACGTACACGTAGCCTTTTAGATTGTCAGCAGTTTCTTTGCCTTCGACACGAAAAGAAGTTAAGAAGCGAAGATACAAGTAGATCCTCTTTAGAGGCAAGAGTGGGACTGATAGGTGAGTTTTTACTCCATCTTACCTTTGTCATTCCTTATAGTTTTAATATCATAATTATTTCGTTTACTTTCGTTTTGTTAAACGCAACATAGATTTATTGTTTTCTCTATAGTTCTGTAGTCCTAAGTGTAGATAACTAAAGGTTTTTTTTCATATCACTAGTTTTAGGCATTTGGGTCGCTCAAACCAGTCGTGACATTAGAAATTTGTTTCAAGTTCGTTGTCAAGTGTGTACAGCACTTTGCACACAGTCGCATACAAAACTGTCACGTGTGTTTAGATGCTCGTAACTATTCAAAGTAGACAGACTGCAAATCATCTTAGTCGCTAAAAATATATATATCTACGCGTCGCAACTGTTCATCAGTAGGATGCCTAAAATGCGTGCAATTCCACAATTGGTTTCGGCTCCATTAAATCCTGTACCAATTGCAGAACATTTTAGGAGGAGCCACCCACCATGTGAGCACAGTCAAGGACAATGTAAGTGAGGAAAATAACGCAAAGTAAAATTAAGACGTTAATAAACCACAGGTGGCCCAAGCGTAATATGAGAGTTTGTATGGGAAAAATAGAGTTTGAAACTTAGATGAAATAAATGAAGTAAAAGCGATAAAAGTTCTCAATAAAGTGTAAATATTGTTACCTAGAGTCGTTGTCTTTGCTTTTACGAAGTTTCAGCGCGATTTGAGTACTTTTACAGCATCTGACCTGACAGTGTAATAATAAGAGACAAGGTAGGACAGAATCGCTCGATCGACGTTCAAAGCTGCTCAGAATCAGCTCCAAATTTCACGCGAAAAAACAAACACACTTACATTTTACGCCGCCGAATCCACAAAGTGGTACGTTAAGATCACTTTCCTGCAATGCGTTCCGGTAAACTTCGCGTTTGGATCGCATAACTCGATCGAAAAGATCAACTACAGTTCAAAAATCGGCGCCATTTATCCGTGACTAGTAAAAGTGTAACATTTCAACCGTTTTGTCGCTCGGCGGTGACTGGGCGCTAACGTCAAATAATAACTCACCGGGAGAGGGTGACATTACTTCGTTAAGACAAATCTCTAGGCACCCACCTCCGAGCCAACCTCCGAGCAAGGTTGGCTTCTCTGTTTTGTTTTGTTGCTTCGTTCATTGGCCGAGTAAAAACAAAGAAGCCGACCTTGCTCGGAGGTGGGTGAGTGGAGATTTGTGGATTCGGCGGCGTAAAATGTAAGTGTGTTTGTTTTTTCGCGTGAAATTTGGAGCTGATTCTGAGCAGCTTTGAACGTCGATCGAGCGATTCTGTCCTACCTTGTCTCTTATTATTACACTGTCAGGTCAGATGCTGTAAAAGTACTCAAATCGCACTGAAACTTCGTAAAAGCAAAGACAACGACTCCAGGTAACAATATTTACACTTAATTGAGAACTTTTATCGCTTTTACTTCATTTATTTCATCTAAGTTTCAAACTCTATTTTTCCCATACAAACTCTCATATTACGCTTGGGCCACCTGTGAATAAACGAACTAAATGTACACGTAAATTAAACAAATAATGCGCGCGCTCAAAATAAAATTGTACGCGCACACGTACCGAGATACGACTGAAATACAACTCTATGCAATAAATAAGTAGTGTAAGGATACGATGGTGCAATTCAAGCCTGGATTGCTAATCTCATCTCCCGCAGGGCTGCACCATACTTCTCGACGATAAGACTATGGCGACTGAAGAATTTATTAAATGATTTTTGAAGTAGATTGGTTTCAAAGCCTTGCTGTCTGAGCCGTAATGAAAGACCACGGAGTCTATTGATGAAGTCAACTTTGGACGTGCAAATTCTAGCATATACACCAGTTGAGATATATAAACACCGTAAGCTGGATTGGCGGGAATGTTGCTGTCCATATGAGGAAAATTGACAATCCGAAATGCAAAGTCCTCTCTCTTATCGTAGATGCTGATACGGAAAGGTGTGTTGTCGCCAGTCTTGATATTAGTGTCGAGATAACACACTTCAGTAGATGATGTGGAAGTGTCCTTAAGTTCCAATTCTGACGGGTAAATTGCGCTGATGTAATTTCCAAGTCCACATTGTTAGCACTGAATGAATCGTCGATGTACCGAAAGGTGTTGCTGAATTGGATGGCTTTTGTTTCATTGTTGTGACCATGAAATCGTACTCGAAGGTATGAAGGAGGAGATCAGCCAATAAAGGTGCACTGTTGGTGCCCATTGGTATACCAATAACCTGCCGGAAAACAGAGCTTCCAAAACGAACGTAGATGTTGTCGACAAGAAAGTCAATAGCGAGACCAAGCTCTCTACAGGAGAAGTACGTGTACCTCGTTGACGTTCTATCATTCGTCCAGAAGGTGCGAAAGTTATTGGTAGCAATGAAGCTCTTTCCTTTAGTATTAAAAACTCTTTCCAAAAGATCATCGAGTTGCTTTTTAAGTTGGGCGTGTGGAAGGCTAGTATAAAGAGTCGAAAAGTCCCAAGTACTCACGTGATTTAGGGCAAGCTGTTTTTCCTCCAGTACGCGGATAACGTCCAACGAATTATTGATGATCTATAGTTGTTTATTATTCTTTATATTTTAATCAATTTTCAGTTTTCATATCGATTATTGCAATTGGTCAAAGGAATAAAGGCATACACCAGCGTGCGTTATTTCGTCAGCCCGTAAAATAGTCCCATTAAGAATGATTTTCTGTAAAATTCGAACTTCGGCCTGACACGGTATCTCATCGATTTGGCTGTTTTTCGGCATGTAGTCTTAGAATGGTGTCCTCAATACTGAATGCATATTCTAAGGTTCGAATTCTCTTTGGTTTCAAAGATACAGGAATGACAGTTTTGACGAGGCCTCGACGGGCCGCCATGTTGGTGAACTGAAGGAGATTTACAACGTAATTACTCTAGCCTTATCATTCAAATAACTTAATCGTGTCTCATACAGTTGCAAAGAACTATCCTTCCTCCCTTCATTTACCTACTCTTATCTGAAAATGGTTAAGCCTGAGCTACGAACGGCTATAACTTCTCACAGCACTTTTTCGGTACTTAACAGCCACAAATTTGGTTGAAATTGGAAGGTCAATATCACCCGTGCCACATCGATTTAGACTAAGCCATTTTAACTAAACACAGCTTGTTTATAGATAAGTTAGATTGTTGAATAAAATAATTGGGCAAATGCAACGGAGCAGAAATATAATTGCATGAATGCGCAATGGTTCAGCCACTTGGCCGCTAAAACTTCCCAACAAAATTCGGTGAATATTTGAAAAGAAAATTCTTTAAAAATTGATCGTGCCTCTTAAAGCCTATCTATCACTTAAAATACTCTCCCTTGTAATGTAAAAAGATGATCTTTTGATTCTGATCTTGCGAAGAGCTTGAAATATGCGCTAAAATGAAAATTATAAATATGGTTACACACGGTACTAGCACTCAAGTTCGCTCTTCGATTTGCCAGACTAATAGGGAGCCGCTCGTGTACTGCACAGTTACAATTTTCTTCTGTAGTATTTCGCTGTATACAGCTACAAATTACATATTTTCTTAGCAAAGATAACGCAAACGTTGTCAATTTTTATCAAAAGGCTAGAAAAACAAACCCTGCGTTGCAGCTTCATGCAAATTATATGGTATTTGATAATTACACGTGTAAACAGGTACCTACATTTGCTAATGTGCACTGTTTGGCAGATCTTTCCAGTGTAAGAGACAAAACTAGAACATGAAATGAAATTAAAGAACTCATCCAGTCAA